TATACATTCTTGATTTATTGAATATTTTTTTTCCAACTTTAGATTTGTTGTAATATAAAAAGGAAAATTTATTATTGGTATTAATAGTTAATGAAATATCGTGTACTTATCCTTGAAAATGATAATTTAAGTTATGGTAAGATTTAGAAACAATTATAATAAAAAGTAAATTTTGGAAAGAAAAATTCAGCGAGAATTTTTTTTACCATAGAATGACGCGTGTTGTTTGAGATTCGCCTTTAGTATAGGTTTATTGATGATTAATAGTTAATGAAATATCATGTACTTATCCTTGAAAATGATAATTTAAGTTATGATAAGATTTAGAAACAGTTATAATAAAAAGTAAATTTTGGAAAGAAAAATTCGGCGAGAATTTTTTTTTTTTTACCATAGAATGACACGTGTTGTTTGAGATTCGCCTTTAGTATAGGTTTATTGATGATTAATAGTTAATGAAATATCGTGTACTTATCCTTGAAAATGATAATTTAAGTTATGGTAAGATTTAGAAACAATTATAATAAAAAGTAAATTTTGGAAAGAAAAATTCGGCGGGAATTTTTTTTTACCACAGAATGACATGTGTCGTTTGAGATTCGCCTTTAGTATAGGTTTATTGATAAGTTAAGACATAATTGATTTGTTATCAAATATATGGATCGAAATGTTTAAACAAGCTTCGATCCAATGTATACATTAAACTAGATTACTTAGTTAAAGTATTGACCTGATTTGAAAATTAAGGACTTCATATCTAAAAGAAAATCAATAGACTAAAATGCGCTTAACCTAGATTACACCAAAATTAACTTATACTCAATGGATTGACTTTCCATTTAAGTATGCATGATTTGATCCAATCCTATAATGTATATGCAACTTGCTTGCCACCTATGAATTCAATCATAGATTCATAGTCATATACAAGTATGTGGTAAAAAAACAATTACGGAGTACTTATTTCAAAACTCAGGGTCAAAAGCTAGAAAAAGCAACTTAATCTTAGAAGTCTTAGATTTCAAATATAATCATTGAATTTCTTTAATAGAATTTAAGCAAAACAACATAATTAGTTCAATAGTGGGAAGGCAAAGGTGATCATTGCTTGTCCCTTCAAAAAATTCATCTTCCCTAATGAAAACACTACTAGAAAAAGCTCAACTACCTAACTCAACTATGAACCTTTTGTTATACCCAAAAAAAAAAAAAAAAAAAAAAATCCCCATTTAAATCCTTTTGTTCTATTGCCTAACGCATTATAAATATTGGTATCATATCCTAAATTACTAACTCAGAAATTCCCAAATTCAATTTTATTTTTCTAAAAAAAAAATAAGAAAAGTTCCATTATCTTCACATATTTAAGATAAAATATTTTTTCAATTTTTGTTAAATAATATATATGGGTTCCATAATTAATAATTACACGTATGATAGTGTTGTTCTTGTGCTAATACTCCTGCCTGCATTAATTTGTTGCTTAGAAGAGCCCATCTTTCGTTCCAAGGCAACCTATTATCATGCTATTGATGGTCTTGGAACCCCAAGTATGTTCATATTCATTAATTAAGGAGTATTATGCATGAATTTTTATATTATATACTCGTACAGTCGTACTTTGTTTATCATAATATAATTCGTTTCATATACGAAGTATTCGTTATTTGTCAACATAATAATCTAATTTGTATTGTACTTTATTATTAAGAATGTTTTCATTAGTTTTGTTTTAGTTTGTTTATGATACCACATTAATGGATCATTTCAACCAAAAGTTTAAACAGATGGTTGAAGCCCTAAATCAATTTATATACTTTTATCATTTTATATTTGTACGTTGTAACAGTTTATTTGTTTGAAAATTAGGGGGAGGGTGTGGATATGGTGAATATGGAAGAATTATCAACAATGGAGATGTAGCTGTGGTTACTTCTTCTAAACTCTACAAGGGTGGAGCTAGTTGTGGTGCTTGCTACAAGGTAATCTTAATTACTATTTTTTTTTTTTTTAAAAGAAACATTAACTATATTATTTCAAAGAAATAGTTTCTTATGGCTTGGATTATCAAATAAGTACCTCATGGCTTTTATCTAGCTATTTATTTTGAATAATTTTTTGAGTGAAATTACCTGATGACGTGAGATCGTTTTTATATTAAGCTAGTCCATCTTTGGAAAATAGTTGACTTAATAGGATTGCGCCCTTGGTCCAAAAATATTTGTCACGTTATTCAAATCCATCAATATGAGTATGACTAGCTATGATAATATATGACTTTTCAGATCAGATTATACATAATTTAATTTCAAGGCATATAACCTATGGAGTATTATTGTTATTTTGTTACTCTTTAGAGGTAAACTTTTTCCACACACCTTAGAATAGTACTCGTATGACTATTAATTCTTGGCAAAAGAACAGCTTGTTTCAATATTCAAGAGCATATTTAGTTTTTACATTTCACAATTTAGGCATATTAATTAATTAAAAAATTAGCTATATTAAATTACATTAAGGGCACATTTCACACTTCCCTTTAAATAAGATTGATTAATTTTTAAGGGTGATCATCATAAAATGCATTATAATTGGTTTTGGATGAAAATGTACATATATAGGTGAAGTGCAAGGAGGCAGTATGCAATGAAGACGGAGTGGTGGTGATGGTGACAGACTACGGTGTATCAGATGGCGAAACCGACTTCATATTAAGCAGTAATGCATTCAACAAAATGGCAATGCCTAATTATGAGAAGGAGTTAAGGGATGATGGTAGAGTTCCCATTGAATACCAAAGAGTTGCTTGCCAATTTCCTGGCAAATCTCTAACACTTAAGGTTGCGGAACATAGCCGTTTTCCTTCTTATTTGTCATTTCTGTTCTTGTACCAAGCTGGAGATGCTGATATCACCGCTGTTGAAATGTTTGAGGTATATATACAATGACCTTTTATTTATATTTATTTTTTTAATGTAAAGAAATATATGGAGTATATTGTTTTGTAATTTTTACCTTTAACTTCATGTCTTCATGGTTCAAGGTTAATCTTTAAATTAAACCCTAGAAATAATTATAATATCCAATAGGAAAACAATTAAATTGATGAATTTGATTATTGATTGGAGTGGAGAAGTAAACAAATAGAAACTATTTAAAAACCTTTCTCTCCAAAATTTAAAGTAACTCAATATTAAAATTAAACCATAATTTATTAGAGGATTAATATTTAGAATGGTATATGTAGTTCACATGAATATGTATTAATTTAATAATTAAGTCACCCGTGGTATTTAAACAAATATGTACAATCCACCACCATTCAATTATATAATAAATCACTAGCAATTACTCTACATACTGTTTTGTTGCAACGAAAAATATAGATGTGACCGGTTGCATATAGGCTTTCGCGTAAATATTTTGACACTTATTATCTTTAGAAATCAATTGTAAAAGCTCTTTCTACATGTATATTTGGTGATGTTGTGCTTAAAAATATGTACAGGAACAAGCCCTAGAATGGAAGAGATGCCGGAGAGTGTACGGAGCTGTTTGGGACATAGCAAATCCACCAAGAGGTCCTCTAACAGTGAGGTTCTTCTTAGATGGAAGTGCAACTAAGAGAGCAAGATGGGTTTTGGTGCCTAAAGTCATTCCTATCTATTGGCAAGCTGGTGTTGCTTATGATACTTCTATTCAACTTAATTAATTACATAATTAAGGACTGCTTTATCTATGTTGAATTATATGTTGGATTGATTCTTAATTAATTAAGATCATGCATGGATGTATGATTTTGTGGAGTAATCCTACTTAATTAAGAAACAAATTAAATGTTTTTGATTTTATTTAAATGCCACAATTGGCTTCTTTAATTTGAATTTAGTTATGAGTAAGGTGTTTGATTCTAGTTATTAGAAATTGTATTTTCCTTTAATTTTTTCCTCTAAGTTAGTTATATAAGGAGTTTTGATTTCAGCTTTTTGATATTGTTTAAGTTTGGATGTAATAATAATGTGCTATATAGTATGATATATCTTTATGTATATCTTTTGTTTTAATCATTTGATTGATTAAATGAGCATTGAAGGGGAAACACATATGTGGCAATTCTCAAGCAAAGAGAGAAAACAAGCATGTTATTATAGGGTTGCAAGGATAACAATCAATGCTCAAAGGAAATAAGAACCCTATCATATAGCGAAAGGAATCAAACTTGAATTGTACACAAATTACACGATAACTTGATTTTATCTTAAGTAAAAAAAGTTTAACTATACTAAAACTAGTGATTACTTATTTTTACATATATAATAGTCTAATTATCGAACATACTCAAATACGACGAGACCAAATTAGCATAAACTCAAACTTAACGAATGTCTCGTTATCTGAATACTTTTTGGTATGAACTAAATCGAATTGACTATAACAGCAAACCAATTAAATATTTGATAGGCCTACTTTAATTAGTGAATTTGAAGAAGATAGCTTCCTAAAGAAAACTTGCTCCTTAACTATAGGACTATTGACTATAGGGTAGTGCTTTTTCCAAGCTAAGCATGCTCAAATTTAAAGTAGTACTTTTTGCACTAAATTAAATGATGATCATGCCTTAACTTTTAAGTTTAGTTTGCTTAGCTTGGTCCTTGATCATTAAACTTGTATCTCCAAATGCAAGGCATGATAATTGAGTCTTCGTTATTCTTGGACTTTAATAATTTAATGCAGTCAGCATAATTATTATAGAAGCTAGCAAAATTCTCAAGGTTATCTCTATCAAATTATCAAGCCAATCTTAAATACATACTATTTTAACCTAAATTTAGTCGTCATATTATAATGTCATCGTGTTCACTCCGTCTCACTTGATAACTTTAATAATGATTAATTAATAAGTTTTCATTTTAATTATTGTAATCATACTTCATCGATTTTTCTGTTTTAAAATTTCTCTAACATTACTTATCGATTTAAAACATGTGGACAAGGGAGCATTAAAAAGTAATTAAACATAGTAATAGAAATATATATATTTTTTTACACGAGACAATGCATAGTAGTACATATATATAGTCCCAACTTTTATTATTGGTATTCATCTAATAAATAAGGAAATGAAATTTCCACCTAAAAAAAAGTAAATAAAGTAGTAAGTAATAAAAAGTGCTGGAAAAGTTGGGACTAATAATTAAGGTAACATATAATAATAATGCAACCTTCAATGGTTTTCATAACAATAATTTGTAAGTTTAAGAAAGTTGAATAGAAGTGTCATAAACAACACCAGCTTGCCAGGCAAGTGGGATGACATTAGCGACAACCACCCATTTTGCTTCAGCAGCAACACTTGCACTTGCAAAGAATCTAACTGTTAGCCCACCTTTTGGTGGATTTTCCATGTCCCAAACTGCACCATATGCCCTCCTACATGCCCTCCATTGTAGATTTGCCTCCTACACAAATTCAAAGGTTACATTACAATGATATATAATTAGTCTTAAAAAACATTATTTTCGATTAAGGTTATCAGTATCTCTAGAGATGGATATGGGCTGGGCTGACACAAAATTGATCCAACATGACTAGAGTCCATTGTAAGACTGACACGACATGAGTAGCTCACCAGTGGGCCATGGGCCATGCATGAACTTGGTTTACAAAATTTGGTACAAACACGAAAAATCTATCCACATGTTGCCTAGCTTATTTTTAATCGTTCGAATAAAAATAATTTAAAAAATTACAAAAGGGTCCACAAACACAACACGACCTAGTCATTAAGCTATGTGGGTTAGACTGTGCATGAGCCCTTTTATGAAAGATTGGTATAAATCAGCTGGTACAATAAACATGACTTTTTCACGGCCTTTCTCAGGTACATCTCATTGAAGCACGAGGCATGCAGAGGACATCATCTGATCCCTCTTACATTGACTTCTTGTATTTATAACTCATAAAAAGTCACATGTACGCTTGTTATGTTAGTCAATAAATTATTATGAGACCATTTCATTAATTAGATTAATTTTGTACCTCAAAGATTTCGACGGCAGTAATGTCATAAATTCCAGCCTGATAGTAGAAAATCATGGCAAGATAGTTAGGATAATGAGCATGCTCATGAACTTTAAGCATGAGATTATTGCCAGGGTATTGGCATGGAACTCGTTGGTATTCGATGTTAACGTGACCATATGCCTTGAGTTTAGCCTCCATGCCGGACTCAGCCATCTTTGCGAATGCTTGGCCGCTCAGAATGAAATCGGATTCATGACTTTCACCGTGGTCCGTCACCACAACTTCAACTCCGTCGTCATTGCATTCTGCTTCTTTGCACTTTATCTGTATTTTGCACCCATAGAAAATAAAATTAGTCATGCATCTTATATACCCCGGCCCTTACATTCTAACATGCCACGTGTGTTAGTGTGTATGATGCTTAATTCTTACATGCCTAGAAATATGTTTTATACTCTATCATCATGAAATTAAATATTTATAAAACCGAGTAACAAATCCTAACAAAAGATGGTAAAAAAAAAACCTATCGAGTAATATATCTTAGTATGTACATGCATCATGCATGCATGGTTAAACGCTTGGTTTTTATGTACCATGCTTAATATTATTAAAAGCGAGCATGAATTAAATTAATAATAATAATAATAATAATAATAATAATAATAATAATAATAATAATAAATGAATATATACCTTATAACATGCACCACATCCAACTCCATTTCTAAAGAGTCGTCTGGGAACAGCAGCTGCATCACCATCATTCACAGTTCTTCCATATTCACCGTAGCCGCATGCACCAGCTGGTCGTTCAATCAAAATATAGGATACAAGTTGTTGATAAGTATATTAGGTGACTCGTACTTCGTAGCTTTGTCCGCCCGATCGGGCGGACATTGCCCGGTCTGACCGGGCGGAAGAAGAAGAGGTGCCTGGCAAATTCGTTGAAGAAGCTGCTCTCGCGCCCGACCGGGCGAGCCTTCGCCCGATCGGGCAGACCTTGCCCGGTCTGACCGGGCGGTGGGGGTTGGATACGTTGAAGCATTCGTATGGAGTTTTCTTCTCGCGCCCGATCGGGCAGACCTTGCCCGGTCTGACCGGGCGGAGAAGGAAAAATGCGGAGACGCGGATTTTACGATTTAAAGTTATCTTTTATGTTATCTTTTTGCCCAAGTATCTTTTATTTTAGGGATTAATATAAAACCTCCCTAATATTAGTATTAGGGTTAAGAGAGAGAGAGTGAGAGCCGTTCTTGAGAAATACAAGAATCATCTTTGTAATCTTTGCAGTTTATAGTGAAATCATTCGATCTCGGTGCCCGTGGACGTAGCTATCACATCGATAGTGAACCACGTAAATTCTTGGTGTTGTTCTTATTGTTTGCATTGAATTTCTTTATTGTTTTCTTGTTTGTTTACGACCTTTGCTTCCGCTGTCGCACAACAATTGGTATCAGAGCTCAGGTTCAATCCTTGGAGAGTTTCTTGAAGATAACAATGGCAGGAGATTCAACAATAAGAATTGAGAAGTTTACCGGGAAAAATAGTTTCGGGCTATGGCAAATTAAGATGAAGGCTCTGTTAAAACAACAGCAGATATGGCGTCCGTTGGCTCCAAAGAGTACTACTTCGGAGTCAGGAGACGGACCGACTGACTCGCAGTTAGAAGTTATGGAAGAGAAGGCACACTCTACCATATTACTTAGTCTTGATGATCAAATCATCACGGAGGTTGCTGATAAGGAAACGGCGGCTGGATTGTGGCTGAAGCTGGAGTCATTGTATATGACTAAGTCGTTGACCAACAAATTATTACTGAAACAGCGGTTGTTTAGCCTCCGGATGCAGTCAGGTACTTCCTTACGGGAACATCTAGAAAAACTTAACTCTATTTTGCTTGATTTACGTAATTTAGATGTTAAAATTGATGATGAGGATGCTGCGTTGATTTTACTTGTATCTCTACCGTCTAGCTTTGAGAATTTTGTAGAGTCTTTTGTTGTTGGTAAGGATTCTATAACCTTAGAAGAAGTGAAGGCAGCACTTCATACTAGGGAACTCAGAATGAAAGCTACGAGTGATAATGGGGATAATGGTAGTGGGTTATTTGTTAAGTCCGGAAAGTCTAAAAAGAATAAGGGGTTTAACAAGGGGAACAATGCTGGGTCGGGTGCTGGAAACGGCAAGGATGGATCTAGTAAAACTACTACTAAAACATGTTATTACTGTAAAGAACCGGGTCACTTTAGGAATAATTGTCCGGTGAGGAAAAACAAGTCCCAGGCTGCTGTAGTTGAAGAGAAACCGAATGAGAGCTATAATTCAGAGGAAGATTTAGCATTAGTCAGTTCTGCTAGGTCTGATGATTTATCTGATAACTGGGTTCTAGATTCGGGGTGTTCGTTCCATATGTGTCCACGTCGAGATTGGTTTGATACATATGAACCTCGCAATGGGGGTATGGTTATAGTCGGTAACAATGCTCCATGTAAGGTCACAGGTATTGGTTCCATGAGGTTGAGGACTGTTGATGGGCGGAGGTTAACTTTGACTAATGTACGGCATGTTCCTGCTTTAGGAAAGAATCTGATTTCATTGGGTACCCTGGATGAATTGGGGTACAATGGTGTGTTTTCAGATGGGGAGTTGTGTATTTTCAGAGGTTCTGAGTTGGTACTTAAGGGTATCAAAAGGAACACCCTCTATGTTTTTGAGGGTGTTACACTGCCTAGTTCTGCGGTTTGCGCATCTGTATCTCACCAGGAGATGACTAAGATTTGGCACATGAGGCTTGGTCATATGGGGGAGAAGGGGATGCAGCTATTGTCCAAGAGGGGTCTTCTATCCGGGGTCAAGGTTGCCAACCTTGAATTTTGTGAGCATTGTGTGTTTGGTAAGAAACACAGGTCAAAGTTCAGCAAGGGTGCTCACATTACTGATGCAGTGCTCGATTACATCCATTCAGATTGCTGGGGTCCATCTAGAGTTGAAGGTATGGGAGGTTACCACTATTTTGTGTCATTTGTTGATGACAAGTCCCGATACACATGGCTTAGGTTGCTTAAGTCAAAGGATGAGGCCTTCAAAGTTTTCAAGCAATGGAAAGCTTTGGTGGAAAATCGACAAGGAAGGAAGATCAAGAAGCTACGAACGGACAATGGGCTAGAGTTTTGCAAAGACGAGTTTAATCAGTTCTGTGCAGATGAGGGTATAGGTCGGCATCATACTGTCAGGAAGACACCACAGCAGAACGGTGTAGCAGAACGGGTTAATCAGACACTGCTAGAGAGAGTTCGATGCATGCTCTCTAATGCAGGGCTTGGGAGGAGGTACTGGAGTGAAGCTGTGTTAACAGCTTGTTATGTCATTAATAGGGGTCCTCATTCTGGAATTGATTCCAAAATTCCGTTTGAGATCTGGAGTGGTAAGCTGCCTAATTTTTCGAATTTGAAGATTTTTGGTTGTGTTGCTTATTATCATGTTATTGAGGGTAAGCTGGATCCACGAGCCAAGAAGGGGTGTTTTGTTGGGTACGGGGATGGTGTGAAGGGGTTTAGAATTTTTTTCACCTTCGGAGGGTCGGGTCATTCTTAGTAGGGATGTTACTTTCGATGAAAACACCATGTATTCAATTAAAAATGCAGAGATTTCAGATTTGAGAAGGGAAGGAGACAATTTATTACAGACAGATGGGGTACTTGAGGTACATCAGTCTACCATTGCTGATTTACCTCGGGTACAATATATTGATGATGATGCTGATGTTCCAGTGCCGGGTACTCCTGAACCTGAGATTACTCCTACTCATTCTAACTCTGGGGATGAGGTGGAGCAATCTAATCAGGGGTCATCTAGTCAACCTGACACCATTCTTGAGATGCCTAAACGAGTTATCAAGAAGCCTGTTAGATTGATTGAAGAGATGGAGGGAAGAAATTGCTGTGTTGATGCGATGACAGGTTATGCATTGAGTGTAGCTGATGATGTAGAGTCATTTGAACCTGCCACATATAAACAAGCAATTAGTTGTAGTGAGTCTGCGCAATGGCTTGCCGCAATGGGTGAAGAGATGCAGTCTCTTTACAAGAACAGAGTGTGGGAACTGGTAAAGGTACCGGAAGGGAGGAAGCTTGTGGGTTGTAAATGGATTTACAAGAAGAAAGAAGGGTTGTCGGAAACTGAGCAAATACGTTTTAAGGCTAGGCTAGTTGCTAAGGGGTTCAGTCAGGTAGAAGGGGTTGACTTTGTTGAGATATTCTCACCTGTGGTTCGACATACTTCTATCCGTGTGTTATTGTCAATTGTAGCACATTTTGATCTTGAGCTGGAGCAGTTGGATGTTAAAACGGCTTTCCTTCATGGCGATTTGGAGGAGGAGATTCTGATGAAGCAGCCCGAAGGATTCGAAGTTCCTGGAAAGGAACACTATGCCTGCAGATTGCTAAAGTCATTGTATGGACTTAAGCAATCCCCCCGACAGTGGTACAAAAGGTTTGATTCTTTTATGGTTTCACAAGGTTTTGACAGGAATTCATATGATTGCTGTGTGTATCATAGTAAGCTGGATAATGGTTCCATGATTTATCTTTTGTTATATGTTGATGACATGTTGGTTGCCACAAAGAATAAATCTGATATTGCTAGATTAAAGGAGATGCTTAACTCGGAGTTTGACATGAAAGACTTGGGTGCAGCTAGGAAGATTTTGGGTATGGAGATCTACAGGGATCGGGCTAGAGGTAAGCTTTTCTTGACTCAGAAAAGCTACATTGAAAAGATTCTGTCTCGTTTTGGGATGGAAAAATCGAAGCCTATAAGTACGCCAACTACTGTTAGTTGTAAGTTGTCTTTGTCTATGTCACCTCAATCAGAGGAGGAGTTGTCTTATATGTCTAGAGTTCCATATGCAAACGCGGTTGGTTGTTTGATGTATGCTATGGTCTGTACTAGGCCGGATATTGCGCATGCTGTTAGTGTTGTAAGCAGGTTTATGGCTCGACCTGGGAGGGAACACTGGCAAGGGGTGAAAAGGATTTTTCGCTACCTGAGAGGGACAGCTGATATTGGTCTTGTGTACGGGAATGGTAAGGAATGCTTGGTCACTGGGTACAGTGATTCTGATTATGCAGCTGATGTGGATACCAGGAGGTCTGTGACTGGTTATGTGTTCACTTTGGGTGGTTCTGTGGTTAGTTGGAAGTCTACATTGCAGTCATCAGTTACGTTGTCAACTACTGAAGCTGAGTATATGGCTCTAACTTCTGCAGCTAAGGAGTCTATTTGGCTCAAAGGCCTAGTAGGTGAACTGGGTATTGCACAGGATTTTGCTACAGTGTATTGTGATAGTCTAAGTGCGATTTGCTTAGCTAAAGATCAAGTACACCATGATCGGACGAAGCACATTGATGTCAGGTATCATTTCTTGCGTACTGACAAGAGGATTAAGGTGAAGAAGATTGGGACTGCTGACAACCCGGCTGATTTCTTCACTAAGCCTGTTCCGTTTAGCAAGTTTAAACATTGCTTAGACTTGCTAAATATTGATTACTACGTGATGTAGTAGGCCCTGAGGGGCGAAGTTGGGGAGCTCCTGGTGTAGGTGTGTTGGCATTAAGGTGGAGCTTGCCCGGGGCTTGTGATGCAGGTGGAGCATTATGAGTTGTTATACTTGGAGACGAGTATGTGATGGGTCTTGGTTGAAGACTTATCGGGATGTATGGCTTATGCATGAGTCCTGCATCGGGTTTGGCTTGAGATGTTTTTTCACTATGTCTTGATGGGGTCGTTTGCTGACTACGAGTTCTCGTCAAGGTGGAGATTGTTGATAAGTATATTAGGTGACTCGTACTTCGTAGCTTTGTCCGCCCGATCGGGCGGACATTGCCCGGTCTGACCGGGCGGAAGAAGAAGAGGTGCCTGGCAAATTCGTTGAAGAAGCTGCTCTCGCGCCCGACCGGGCGAGCCTTCGCCCGACCGGGCGAGCCTTCGCCCGATCGGGCAGACCTTGCCCGGTCTGACCGGGCGGTGGGGGTTGGATACGTTGAAGCATTCGTATGGAGTTTTCTTCTCGCGCCCGATCGGGCAGACCTTGCCCGGTCTGACCGGGCGGAGAAGGAAAAATGCGGAGACGCGGATTTTACGATTTAAAGTTATCTTTTATGTTATCTTTTTGCCCAAGTATCTTTTATTTTAGGGATTAATATAAAACCTCCCTAATATTAGTATTAGGGTTAAGAGAGAGAGAGTGAGAGCCGTTCTTGAGAAATACAAGAATCATCTTTGTAATCTTTGCAGTTTATAGTGAAATCATTCGATCTCGGTGCCCGTGGACGTAGCTATCACATCGATAGTGAACCACGTAAATTCTTGGTGTTGTTCTTATTGTTTGCATTGAATTTCTTTATTGTTTTCTTGTTTGTTTACGACCTTTGCTTCCGCTGTCGCACAACACAAGTTAATTGTTACTCCGTATAATTTACCCAACTTATGTTAGCTATAATGCACACATATGCAAAAGTATTCGAGACTTTTGAATGACCCTATTGGACTTGACTCTTAACACCTAGAATCACAATTAAGCCACCAATTCAATTTAGAATATCATACGTCCATACCAGACATTTAAATCGAGGAAGAGTAATTAGGATCACATGAATCCTCAATCTCAAAAAATCTATCTAAGACCAAATACCTCAAAGTCACAAGACATAAATTAAATACAGAATTTCGTATTATTAATCAACTAAACAAAACCTTGTCATACATATAAGATGTACACAATACTATACATAGACAAGTTCAAGAAAAAAGAATAGTAAGTGTGCATACTTGGGGTCCCTTTACAATCAGGGCTGCCATAATAAGTAGCTTTTGACGATTCTTGAGAGTAGCACAATGTTGGCAAGGAGATAATAATTGTAAATACAAAAACATAACAACCATATTTAAGTGGAGAATACCCCATAATTTAAGTACTAAAATACCCTAAATACAAATATTTAAGATATAGTAAGTAATTTTTTAAAAAAGAAAGAGCCAATTTCTAAGTAATGAGATAGCTAATTAAGTCATAAGGTACAAATTCTTATTTATAGGAATAGAATTAGGTAATGGTACATTGGTAAATTTATCAAGGATTTGCCACTATTATCCTCCACTAAATTAATAAGGTGTTTAAGCTGCATTGCACTTACTAGGGAAATCTTAGGGTTTTGGACAAATGTACGTACAACAATGTAATTTTGACTTTATTTATAATTGGTACTTGGTTGTTAGATTGTGTGTCAATTATATATAGAATGGCAGGTATAAATAAACCACATAGCATTATAAACTAATTAGTGTATGTTTTTATAATTACATTGGTTAATCATACACTATGAAGCCAATGATTAATTACCAGCAGGGATTTGTACTTGGAGCTTGTGACGCGTTATTACTCCCCGATGAGAATAATTTACGTGTATTGGGTGCACAATTATAATCTATGTTATTATTTTAGGGACGACCCAAAATTAAACAATAATCATTGACTTTAACCACAAAAAAATGAGTGATTCATGAATAGTGATTCGAGTCTAGTATGCGATGACATAACAAATAGTGTTCATCAGATGTACGTGAATGATCAGAATTTGTGTTATTGATAATAGAAAATAAATCGTGAAATATGAACCCCATTATATTAATTATTTTACTCCCTATCTTTCTACATATGTGACATTATATATATTGCTGGTTGATAAGCAGGTAATGCATTAGTATATTTAGATAAAAAACAAACTCTACCAAAAGGTTAATCTGATGGATATAGTTGATCCGACTAGAATTGGTTTTATATTATGTCATTTCCCTCATAAGAAAGCTCTTTGGACTTGAAGAGTGAATGCAAGTATGCAACATAGACATTCTTAATTATAACATGCGCTAAGTATCTCACAAGGAGGGTAGAGATTTTAAATGTGACCAATTCAACGAAAAGTCTAAGTTGATGGTTAGAACGTCATGATTGGTATTACACTCTATTAATATTTATATTTTGTAAAGTAATTTAAATCAAAAGGTTTATAGATCTAACTTCATCCCTAGATATGTGTTTATGATCTTGATGATAATTACTCCGTATGTTATAATTGCAATTCATAATAATATAAATCTCACTTACAAAGTTAAATTAAAAATAATATAGCTAGGTTTACTCTACTTGTTATTATTACTAAGCTTGTATAAATTAAATTTAGTTAAAATAAGTTCAAATAAATTTAATTAAAAAGAATATATGGACTATGACAAATACGCTGTAACCGAGTAACTTTGTAAGCATACTACTATAGAAGCTAAGCCATTTATGATAAGATAATGTTATTCAATAAAAGAATTAGAAATTTGAGTTATAATTTCTAAGAGCTACGTAGAATTTATATTATGTAATTTATAAAATCTCAGTAATTTAAATTTTACAGTATAAGTTTTTATTGATAGTTGAAATGGTCAAATTTGTGCGTTTAAAGTCAAAGTTACTGCAGTTATAAAATGGTGCCTTTATTTATTTTTATTTTTTTTAATTTTTAATTTTTTTATTTTTTGTGAAACAATATAAAATGGTGCATTCTCTTTACCTTAAAAACACATTTTGAGTCTAAATAGCTCAAATAAACAAGTTCTAATAAGGTCCATATATTTCCACTTGTTTCAATTAGGCTCAACAAGTTTACTCAAGTTTATAGTTTACTTTATACTCTTGCAATCAGGTGTGTCCGTGTGTAATAACATCCAGTCAGATCCAAATATATTGCTTGCAACATTAGGAATTCTATTCCTGAGGAGGACTTTCAAATATATTGTTTTTCTTACTTTTTTTTTTTTAAAAAAAAAAAAATAAAATAAAATTTACTCATACCAAATATGATACAACACAATACGATATCTATTAAATTTTTTGATATGTAAAGTACAACAATCTCCCTCAAACTCGAGACAATAACTCAATCAATAAGTACATACTGTATATAATACAAGGTCCCAGACTTTATTCATTATGATAAACTAATCACTAATACATAATCTATAAAATAATATTGTAATACGAGGGTATAGTACTTCTAATACGAAGTACCTCGTATTATACAAGCACTCGATATAATTTGTGGATCAAATTGAAATTTATTAAGTAGTTAGGGGTTTTTAGCTGAGAAAATAATTAATTTAAGAAAGTTGAACATTAGTTTCAACGGTAAGACCAGCTTTCCAGTAAGCAGGAACAACATTAGAAGCGACGATCCATTTGCCTTCAGTAGTACCACTGCCGCAAGCGTAGAACCTCATTGTGAGCTCCCCTTTCGGAGGACTGTGCATGTCCCAAACACCGCCGTATGCCCTTCTACATGATTTCCATTCTTGTGTTGCCTCCTGCATAGATAGATGTTTATAGGTTAGCCCAATTAATTAAATACAAAAACATACATTTTTTTTTTGGCGTTTAGAGAGCCACAAAGGGCGAGTGATGAGAATCGATCCCACAATCACCTAAAATCAGGAGGAAAGCTTTAACCACTTGAGCTAGCTATCCCTCACTCTCAGTACAAAAACATACGTAGTGGTAGGAAATTATTATTATTATTATTATTATTATATGTACAAGCAAGACTATTTTTTAGCTCATTTATTCATTTGAAGAAGCTCCATAGAGTAAATGAGCAAAGATTGAACAGATGTACAATTGTTTGTACAATGATGATCATCTTAGTTAATTATATGTCTAATAGGCCAAATGTAGCGCTAAGTGCAAAAAATACAAGTATATCATTTGAATATGGTTCACTTTGGGTCATATCTAATTATCTATAGGCGATATATTGTTATAATGATAGGTATAATTAATATTATTACTTGCCCGACCTATTTTTCTAGGTTGATTGGGATGGATCAGCTCCGGCTAGGGTTAATTTTGGAATTAGATACTGTTTGAAATAAGGTCAACTAGTTAAGGTCACAACTCACAAGTACGGGTCAATGTACCAAATCGAGCACAACTCAATTATTATATACGTACGAATTATATGATAGTCGTGCATACCTCATAAATCTCAACCGCGGTGATATCATACATTCCACCTTGATTCAAGAGGACCAAGGCTAAGTAATGTGGGAAAAAGCTATGTTCATGGACCTTAACCATGACATTTTTCCCAGGATATTTGCAAGGAACTCTTTCGTATTCGATATTTACATATTCACAATCTAGCAAGTCCATTTCTTTTCCTGGCTTTGCCATTTTGGCATAAACTTTGGCACTTAGGATAAAATCTGCGTCGTAGGTGAATGCATGGTCCGTAGCTACAACCTTCACACCCTCTTCGTTGCACTCTGGTGCCTTGCATTTTACCTACATCGAATTCAAAATTAGTACAACTTCGTAAGTATATTTAATGTTTAATCATAACATAACGACATGTATGATACGCACGCTGTAACACTCGTGTTATTATGAAGTTGAATTTATGCATAATTTTGTATGGAAAACTTATGTTATTAATGTTTGTAGTAAAACTTATCAATCATGATATATATATATATATATATATATATATATATATATATATATATATATCTTTGCGAATTTAATTTAAATTATATCATTACTCGGTACCACATTTAAAGTAATAATGGATGACAATAAAAATGTCCGTTAGTTTTAGGTTTAGAGTAAATATAGAGAGGATATATATATAGGTACCTGATAACAAGCACCACAACCGGTTCCGTTTCTAAAGAGTTTAGAGACTGCTGCTACATAGCCTCCGTTAGCAGTTTTACCATAGGGTCCATATCCACATGCTCCAACTATTTGCACATAATAAAAACGTCGACATTAAATAAAAAAAAATCACAATAATACTCACTCCATTAAGATTATATTTAATTTGTCATGCAAGTAGTTCAAACTAATGTGATTATGTGACAATTAATTCTGGACAGACAAAAGAATCATATATCATAAATTAGAACAATAATGTATAACTTACCTGGAAACGATTTACAATACGAGCTACCATAGTAGGTTGCTTTACACATTTCTTGTTCTTCTGTGGAATGACATAATGTTGGTAATACTATCGCCATAATAACAATCAAAAGTGCATAATTTTGGCTAAGGGTAACGGCCATTTTTCTCATAAAATGATGAAATAAGCCAAAGAATATAACTAATAGGGTGACAATTTCTTAGTTAAACTAAGTAATTAGCTTAATGTTGAATGAGAAGTTTATAATTAAGCTTCACATATTTATAAGGAGGTTTTTTGATTTTGACATATTACCTTTTTGATCCACTAAAGATATAGGAAGGCAATGGTGTGCCACTAATTTTGAGGTTTGCTAAATGTATTAATAGAGAGGCTGACAAATATTACTTTGACTTATTAACTTAATTAATTTATTTCCTTGAGCTAGTATTCAAGAAGTCAAATTTAATTGTATATGGTTGTTAATTAATTAATGTAATCATCCACTATATAAACACATAATACACCTTGCTAATTCCATTATTAAAGTGGGGTTGGTGATTATAATGTGTACACATCTAGTTATGCAAAAAAATTAAATCCTTGAAATTTAAATAGCATACAATTCGATTATATATTATACCAAGTACACATAATGACATATAATACTACCTCCGTTTCTTATAAATTGCAACAAAAATTATTTAAGTCTCATTATTTAAATAATATTCCTTTTTTGCAATTAATAAAAAACAGAGGTAGAATAATTAATCATGAAAGAATTGTGATTGAAATAAGGTTTATCATGTTAATTGGAAGCAATAGTTTGCAATTGAAATTAAGAAAGCTGCCTTGTTTAGGGGTGTGCATGATGAAAACCATAGTTGTTAGGAGAGCCACTATTTAGCTATAGTTGTTAGAAGAGAACCAGCAGGAATGGTCTAGACAAGCGTAATTACATATTGTTCAACATTGATACAAACATATATAGCCTTCTCAATGACATTGGGCAAGACTAATACAAAGAATTAGATAATATTAATCTTTTTATACTGATATTGCAGTAGGAGATATTTCCCTAGCTTTAACACGAAGATATCTTAGAATGGTTAGTTAGTGTCGAGGGAAAAATCAAAGGACCAAACATACTCTTCACCCTGAGTTAAGATATTATGGGTTCACACAATACCACATAACTTAACTGAATTTATTGGTTGGTTTTCCATATCCCTTTACTGGAATTCACATTGAATTTTCGCCAATTTATGGGCCAAATGTATACAAGTCAAGTCAAGCAAAGCTTTAGTTTGTTTGAATTAGGCTTGATAATTGTAGAATAGTGTAATTCACCTTAAGTGGAGGCTTCTCATTCATTGAATATATATAGGTATTTACAAACCTAATCATGAGACCCCTAAATTACACAAAGTATATCTTACTAAATATTGACAAGATAATATAAACCTATTATCTATCACACCCCCGCAGTCGAAGCCGGAGGAGGTCGAACGCTGAGACTGTCTCTGAAGTTAAAAATAGTTTTTGCGGTAAACCTTTTGTGAAAATATATGCATACTGATAAGAAGAAGGAACATGTAAGACCTTGATCTCACCAAGAGCGACCTTGTCGCGTACAAAATGTATGTCCATCTCATCTCAATGTGTTTGGTACGCTGGTGTTGTAACGGATTGCAAGATAAGTTAATAGCAGAAATATTATCACAATAAACCAAAGATGCCCGTTTGATAGGGCATGTAGCTCGAGTAAAAGATTTCAGACCCAACATATTTCGCAACGACATTAGCGATACCTCTATATTTTGCTTCGGCACTGGATCGGGACAAAGTACCCAGTCGTTTTGCAGACCATGAGACAATATTATCACCAAAATAAACACAATACCCTGAAGTGGAGCATCGCGTGTCCGGGCAGCCGCCCCAATCGGCATCTGTGTAAGAAATTAGTCTCGTAGGAGCAAAACGGTATAATTGTAGGCCATGATCCAAAGTGCCTTTGATATATTTGATAATACGCTTAAGAGTGTTAAAATGAGGTTCTCTAAGAGCATGCATGAACAAACAAACTTGCTGAATAGCATAAGAAATGTCAGATCTGGTGAAAATGAGGTACTGGAGTGCACCTGCAAGGCTCTTATAAAGAGAGGGATCCTTCCTTGGCTCACCATCATGTGGCCCAAGTTTTGACTTAGTGTCGACAGGTGTAACAACCGGTTTGCAAGAGTCCATCTTTGCCCTGTGTATAATTTCCTTTGCATACTTACTCTGACTTAGAAACATAGAATGCTCTGTACGACTTACAGAAATTCCCAAAAATTAACTCAAACTTTCCCAAGTCAGACATGGAGATCATGAATTTGGACTTAAGAAGAGCAATAATATCACACTTGAGTTTTTCTGAGGAAGTTATAAGAACAATGTCATCAACATAGAGCAAGAGATATGCAACATTAGCACTATGTTGCAGAATAAAGAGGGAATTATCACTCTTGCTGCATACAAAACCAATCTGTAAGAGATAATTAGCAAACCGTTGATACCGAGCCCGAGGGGCCCATTTTAGACCATAGAGAGATTTGCGGAGCCAGCAAACATAAGTAGGAGCTTTAGGATTTACAAATCCCGGAGGTTGATGCATAAACACGGTCTCTTTGAGGTCACCATGAAGGAACGCATTTTTGACATCTAACTGATGAATAGGCCAATCTTTGCCCATAGCAATACTCAATACGATGCGAATAGTCGCCGATTTCACCACGGGACTAAAGGTCTTATCACAATCAACACCAACCTGTTGAGACTTGCCATTCACAACAAGTCTCGCCTTGTGTCTCTCCAAATCACCATTTTCCCTGAACTTGTGCTTAAACAACCACATACATCGAATAGTATTCACTTCCCTCCGGTCTTGGAACAAGATCCCAAGTATGCTATTTAGTAAGAGCATTAAATTCCTCATTCATGGCAATATTCCAATTATGGTCAAGCATGACTAATTTCGGATTCTTAGGTAAGGGAGTTATAGCTTGAACCGTAATATTATCTTGATATTTGGGGTTCGGCTTGAAAATCCCGCTCTTGGCACGAGTAGCCATAGGGTGGGAAGGTTGGATAATGGGCTGAGAGTGAGGAGAGATGATCGAACTTGGATGTGGGAGTGGCCCAAATTGAGGGAGATTGAGGTGAAGTCGCCCTCGTATCCATATACCATCCGTTGTCGGGAGGTTTCAAGCTCATGCAACTGTACGCTTGGCCCAACTCTGTTGGTGACATAAGCTGGCCATAACCGGATTACATAGGGCTAGCATAGTAGGCCTGTTGTTGAGGGTTGGGCCCAACACAGATTGTTGGGGTCGCTGCTGGGCCGGACCTGTAGGGAAAGGACAGGGCGGTAGTGGCCCAGTTGCCTTGTTGCTGTGGTGGCCAAGTGGACTGGGCTCCCCACTGAGGGGCCTGCTGTCGTTGGGCCTGTTAAGGCGACCTAGTCCCTTATGGCTGCTGCTGCTAATTATTGTTGTTGTTCCCTCGGCCCTTGCCAAGGCCTTTGGGCTTGTTATTATTCCCACGCCCACAACCCTTACCTCGGCCACCACCATCGCGCTGCTGGTCAGTCGTCGACTGGTGGTTGGTCAATGAAGAAGATGGCGAGGGTTGGGCCTGCGAGGTCTGAGCCACGAGAGCCTGCTGGCTCGACTCTTCTTGTTTCTTTTGACGAGTCTCCTCCAAGAGAAACATGGACCTTGCTTTGTTGAATCTCGGAGTGGGTTCGGATTGCGAAACAATGGTAGCCACGGTATCATATTCACCCTTGGTGAGGCCGACAATGAGTTTCATAACCATCTTTCGATCAGATATCGGGCAATCAACGTTAGCTAATTGATCTGCAAGTAGCTTAATTTGTTTACAACAATCAGACATGTTCGCATAGTATTCGAGTTTTATATGCGCAAACTGTTGCTCCAAATACACTGCCCTAGTATGCTTGTTATCATGAAACAACTCCTCAAGTCGGGTCCATAATTCTTGAGCCGTGGCACCCGGTTTCATGATGGTGTGAACGAGGTCTTTGGATATATATGGTTCCATAGATCCATTGCTTCACAATATCATCCAATCTCTTCCATGTAGCATCATCAATCTCCGTCGGTCGAGAAACAATAGCATCAGTATGATCGAGAACGTTGAAATCACATGGCATATTGCGCCTCTTATTGATCAAGGGTAACACTCATTAGATTTTTGATGTTGGAAACGGAAAAGGTCGAGTGGAAGGTGTTGGAGGGAGGAGAAAGAGGGGGCGTTTCATCGCCTGCCATGGAAGGGGAAGGAACGGCCGGTGATTGGTGATGGACGGCTGTGGTGGTTCACGGCTAGGTGGAAGGATCGTTTAGGGTTTAAATAAGAAAGAAAAGAGGAAACCCTAATTGGGATCTGATACAATGTAAAATAGTGTAATTCTCCTTGAGTGGAGGCTTCAAATAGACAAATACCTTAAAAGAAGGATTATTTCCTTAGGGTTTTATATGCATCAATTTTATTTAATTCAAGTTTTTGTCTTTCTATAGAAAATTCTTGTGGGAAAATTTTCGTGCATGCATGCATACAGTTGACAATATATTTCATACCAATCTTCAATTCATTGTTTAAGTTCAAATTTCCTATAACGATATAGGAAATGTTAAAATAATTTTTTAAATTGTTAAAAAAAATACAGTATCAAATGTGAACAAGTATATAAACTAATTTAAACAAGTTGTTAGATTAACTTATAATTACAAGTCGGTCATGATTTTTTCAAGCTTGTCTCGTTTACTTTATGAACTTAAGATATTTTTGTTCAAGCTTGCTTGTTTATTAACTTAACAAACATTTATGATTAAATTTGTTTGCAAGTAGTTTGTAAACGTATCTATTCAATTTAGTAAAAAACTAACATACATGGATTTAAACACAACTATTAAAGCATTACAATACTAGTATTAATCAACACAATTGAATTCAAGTACATGGTCCATAATCTTATTTAATCACTAATTTATGAGGTAAGTAAAGAGAAATTAAAGTGGTGATGACCAATAAAATTGGCAAATAGTTACAATAAGAGTTCAATGGCAAGCTCAAAATTAGCTCCTTTTCCCCAATTAGCAGGAATAAGAGTAGGTGATTCCACCCACGTGGCATGATTAGTGTTGCTGGCAACAAGAAAGTATCTAGTTTTATAAGCTCCTCCTTCTACTCTTGGTGGATTTTCCATGTCCCAAACTGCTCCAAATGGCTTTCTCATGGGCCTCCATTCTTTGGTTTCCTCCTGCATTTCCAATTCAATAGTATGAAGCCCAACACTTGAGCCCAATAAACAAATTACTTGTAAAAGTGTGTGGTTGTGTACCAAAAGTTGGAGCCCAATATCTTCCTATTAAGATTTTCAAAAGTGAAGTATTTATCATTATATAATTTTTTGTCAATATTTATCATTATATAATTAGGCAACCTTAATGTCACGGAATGAGCGTAGATCGCCTATACGGCGCCACGATTCAGACCCTGTCAGCATGTGACATTAGGTCGTCTAAAACAACCATGTAATTTGATTCCTTTATATACAATGTTTTCGTATTTTAATATAATTAATTAATATAATGTCAAAATTATTTCAGACACCCAATAATATTGAGAGTGATTCTTATGACATTATATATGCATGTCACACGTACACATGTACACAGGTTGATTTGAGAGCTAACATTTACTATGATCTCGAGTGTAGGATAAAAAGGGAGAAAATAAAAAACCTGCCAAACTTGAACACCAACAACGTCATAGAGACTAGGATTATATGTGATAATAATGGCCAAGTAGTGAGGGTATCTTGTGCCTTCATGAATGTTAATTATGAGGTTTAAACCACCGAAGGTGCAAGGGACTCGACGGTATTCGATATTAACGACGCCGTATGAGAGCAGCTCGGCTTCTAACCCCGGCCGGGCCATCTTAGCATAGGCCTTGGCCGGAAATAGGAAATCGGTCCAATCGCCCACCCCAAAATCTGTTGCCACCACCACCACCCCATCTTCCGTGCATTCTCCTGTCTTGCACCTTACCTATAAAATCGGGATATTATTAATAAAAAATATGCATTGAAATTTGAAAACCATAACCAGTCAAATAGATGATGAACATTATGAAACGAAGGAAGTACCTGATAGCAAGCACCACATCCGGTGCCGTTTTTGTAAGGTCTGTGGACACCAGCTACATACCCATCATTGGCAGTTCTCCCATATTCTCCATATCCACATGCTCCAGCTGATTAGATGTAATTAAGTCCATAACATTAATTATTATCAGCCACTCACGTAGTCACGTCATAATTTAGTATACAATTATAAAATGAACAGCTAAACATAAGCATAAAGTTCATATTTTATTTACTAAGGAAAAAAAAAATTAATATATTAATTAATCCTACAAAAAAACATTAGTTTGAAGATTGTTAAGTAATTGATATGTATGTACTTCAAAGAGTGATTGGTTAGATTAGCCTATAGAAGATCTTAAAAGAATTGTTAAACACAGTATATCACCCTAAGGGCTACCGGCTACATTTAAGAAGTTAATATGAAAAATAGAATATTGATTACATCGGTCCACTCGTGTTTTTAAGAAGAATTGCCAATTTTATACCATTTCAAATTATGCATTTAATGCTTATATGTAACCTTAAAATCTACCTATTTTGTTACCTTTTGATCTAGCATACATTCAAATAGTTAATCACTAATTTGTTTCCTCACATATATAGATACATAAGCAGCATATACTATAGTAGTCTAGTAGAGATCGAATATAATAATATGGTTATTTTTTTAAATACAAATGTGGTAATGTTACGGAAAACTACGTACTTAAAATTAAACTTTCCATCATTTTCACAAAAGTACTCAAATGATCAATAAATAACCTTTTTCCGTACTCGTAAAAAGTTAATAAGGACCTAATAAACAGTAAGCAAAAAACGTTCGTACATCACTCTTGTAAAAAGTTAATAAGGACCTAATAAACTGTAAGCAAAAATCGTACATCACTCTAATATGCAAGTTAAGACACCATGCATGCTACTAAAACATAGAAAAACAAAAAGGCATACTTGGGTTCCCTTGACAATTCGGACTACCAAAATAGGTTGCTCTAGAGCAGATATAATCTTGACCATATCCAAGTACAAATAACAACATCATTATCAAAGGAAGTATAATTTTTTTGTAATTAAGGCTAAACCCCATTTTTTTCAAGGATTAGTAGAAATGAAAACACAACAAGCTAAGAATGCAAGAAGCTAATATAAAAAAGATAGTTGTAGAAATGGTGAGAAATGAAGCTAGAAACCTTAGATATATATAGCATATAATTTTGAATAGAAACAAAAAAATAAAAATAAAATACTAATTTAAAAAAAAAATGATAATTCGAAAATTTGCATTCCACTATTGTGACAGAGACAGTAGAGTTATTTAGAGATTATGTACAGTTTAACAATGAACCAATGACTAATTAAGTAAGTATTCATCAAACTAAAGTTCCTTATTTATTTTAATTTAATGTATTACTTTTTAGTGCACTTAGATTTATCATTATAGTTAAGGAAGATGCTATGAATGATAGTCCTAAAAAATTAAACAAGCACAACACTTTTATTTTTTTAGCACTCAAGTATTCAATTTTGTCACAACTGAGTTAGGAGCTTAGGACACATGGGAATAAAAAATCTCTCGATATTTTCTTATGACTTTTTTTTGACAGATAATTGTGACATTAGAATTTTGTAGTTAAGTCAAGTCTTTTCAACTTTCACAATTTTTATTAAATGGTTATCACATTTCCATAAATAATATAAAAATTATAATGTACTTCGTATCATCTTATAAAAGTAATTCTTAAGTAAAACAATGCATTAGCATGAGTAAGTAATAGAGAACTTTGATCTTGCCACATTTTCCCAAGACAATCAACCACTTAAAAAAAAAGGAATTTTCTTTAAAAATCACCCCTAAATTCACCACTTTTTTAAAAAACCATCTCTTTTTTACGAAATTTAAAACTACCACCTACAAAACACAAAACCAGTAGGAATAACCACCACCTACCTCGCCCGCTCACTTTCTCTCTCCTCTCTTTTCGTTAGGGTTTTCTCTTTTGCCTACTCCACTATATTCTTCTTCTTCTTCCCCAATGTTCAATCAATTTTTTTCCTCAATTAGGGTTTTCATCAGGTTAGAGTAGCTTAAATTCTTCGTCATTCGTCGACAATGGATTTCGGTGGTCCTTATAAAAGAGGCGAAGCTTCTTAACAGCAATGGCGGCTTCAAGAAATCTCGTCCAAGTTTGTTAAATTTCTAGGTTTTTGTTTTTTTATGAAGTTTTAGTGATGATTTGGAGTTTAGACTTTTTTTCTGCGAGCAGGGGTGAGCGCTTGGTGGGGTTCGCTGGTAGGAGAAGTGGTTGAAGGTGGCTGGTTGGGGTGGGGTGGTCCGACAGGTGGCTGATTTGTGTGGGGTGGCTGCCGGGGCTGGGGGTTAGGGGATATTTCTTTTATTTATTTTTTTTTAAAAATTGGTTTTATTTTAATTTATTTATTTTAATTAATTTTGGCTAATAGGATAATGACACGTGGACTCTTTAATCGAAAAACAGGTCGGAAAAAGGGATGGGTGGTGATTCCTACTGGTATTGGGTTTTGCAAGTGGTATTTCTAAATTTTGTAAAAAAAGGGTGATATTTTAGAAAAGTGGTGAATCTGGGGGTGGTTATTTAAAAAATTTCCAAAAAAAAAAAAAGATTAGAGGAAGTAAAAATTAAATGAATTAAAATAATTTAAACACCAACAAAATGCAAATAAAATTACTAAAAGTTTTTTAACTGAGTTTCCTAAAAAAAAGAAAGGTTTTGAATTGAGTGATGAATGAAAAGATTATGTTTAACATATGTAGTTTTTTTTTTTTAATAGTTAACACATGTAGTTTATGTACATGCGCGCGCGTCATGTATGTATGTTGAGGCGGGTTGCTACTATAGTCTATACTTTAATCAACAAAATTAGCTCTTTGTCAGGCTCGACTCTCCCAATTCAATTCATTCCAAACCTTATAATTAAGAATATACTCGAAGTTTTTGCTCACCATATTGATTTATAAGCAAACTATCATTGAAAGATAAACTTTTACGTGCGAGACATTTTTTTTTTCAGATAATAGTCAAAAGGTCATTTCATTAGCAAATACTTGTAGGATTGGTCATTTCATTAGCAAATACTTGTAGGATCAAACCTTTGATACTGTTTAAAAACAAAGGTATATCATAGCGTAATTAGTTTGCTAGCCTAATTTCCTCGATATAGTAGTGACGTCTTTTTCAATCTTTCCAACTTCATTAGCTTATTGATTGACATAGCACCTGTGTCTGCAAAAATATGCACTAATTAAAAAAAAAATTAAAAAAAAATAAAAAAATAAAAAAATAAAATAAAATTAATTTTAAATCGTCGTCAACATATCTATTGTTATTGGTAATCTTGGAATGAATTTATATACTTCATCTGTTTCTAGGTTGTTAGTTTGTAATAAAATTGTTCCATTTTCTTTCCTAAAAAAAAAGTTAAGTTTCATTTCATCTCATAAAATATTAAGTTCAGCTAAATTTGAAAACGTGCTTCTACTAAACATTGAGGCAGTAATAAGAAGAGGATGGGAAAAACAAAGTTACTCATAAAAAACGAGAATGAAATGGAATTAATGTTTTTTGAATGATTGTAATTATGTGACAAATCACGTTCATATCGAGTAGCTAGGCTTTATTTTTTGGTTTAGAGAGAATTACATAAGGTGTAATGACGTAAATAAAAATTGAAAGGCCTTTGATTACCATCTTTTAAGTCTAATTTTAATCAAGTAATCTAGATAACACATATGAAAAGAGTAGTTTATGAAAGTCGAGATTTCTTTACTTGTTAGTTTAAGTTACGTTGAAAAGAAAGCAAAAGTGGGGAACAAGGCCAATAAGCCCTCCACCAATAATCTGCATGTCAAAAAACGTTTACATCAGATAGACAAGTTTCCCAAAACCCATTAACTAGTTACATGATAGCTTCCACTTATACGATGAGCGATTAGAGCCTTGTTGAAACAAATTTCTCTTTCAATTTAGTTTGAAATTTTCCTCCTTAATGCTGTAATGCAAAGGGCCTCCAACAATGTTTTGTTTGCTTATATATGAGTATCAAAATTGACCTTTATTATAATAGTCCAATTTTTACTAAATTTATATAAAGAGAGCTAAATTCCTTTATTCCAACTAGCTTGCAGGGTGTATGGTTCACACAAATAAGGTACGTAGTATATGGCAATGGTTGAAAATCGCCGAAATCCATACCTAGTGTTTATTTTAGATAAATTAAAAAATTTCTAAACTCGTCATTACCTCAAAACACACAAATTGTGGAGGTTTATAAACCCACGAAAAACTCATGTAATTCAACATTCAATCTTGATTTCAAACCCATGCTACTTAGTGATTATTCCCGTAACCTTTTTCCCTTCTTTGAAAATAGCCCAATACAATGTAAAAATACAAAGATATCACAACTTAACAGTAAAAAGATTAATATTATACTCGTAGTTTGAAATTAGGGTTGAATAATCAATTATACCAAAAATGTATTTTTTTTTCCTATCATTAATGGATCTAGGTAACATAGTTTACATTCAAAAAAAAAAAATTGTAGTGAATGGAAGACCCGTAAATACGTTGTCAAGTCAAATTTGGGTTAGGTACAAATCCATCTTGGATAGCCATGTGGATATTAAAACTAACCATATATTTTTATAGGTAATTATAGAATAATGAAAATAAAAATAACATAACTCGACCTATATACCCTCGATTGCTCAATTGTGCAATCATCATCCTTACGTATTTGTGATTAATTCGGCCTTTATGAATTTATAATCTAACTTCATAATAATCATAACCACCACACATACATATTTACCTATCCTATCATAAGACTAGACGTTTGAGAAGAATGATATGCTACAATTTCTGCCAATGAATTTTCTTCCAAAGAACATACATAGAATTTGTGAAACCTTGCTTTTCATTCTACTTTGAAGAGAAGTTATTTGATATGATAGGCAATTGGGTGGACAGAAAGAACAGTTTTCGGATGAATAGCACTAGTTGCAAAACCCCCATGACATAAATCCTCATGTACATATACCATGTTCGACTACAATTCTTGGACATGCGCACGATGTTTAGGGAACTTAGCTCATATCGGGCCATCTACGTGTTGCAATCTTACAGATTAGGGACTTACCTTTATATCAGAGTAATTGTCATGTTGATAGTGTAATTTGTATCAACAACGTGACAACTTAATCTACATCTTAATCTACATGAAGGTAGTAACCTGCATGGCTGAATGTGCAAATAACAATAATACTACGGAGTATCTGTTTTTGAATTTTACGATAATGGACAATTTACCATCTGTTTTGAATTATAGGATTATGGAAAATTGCAAGACTTTAACTTCATAAAAAATAATCAAATCCTGTGGGCATTTTCATCAACCTAATCTTGTGTAATCCTGACAACAGAAAATATACATGATCTTAACTTGGCAGCACCTTCCTTACAAACAGCCAAATATACATGTTCGCCCCTTCCCTTGTCAAACATACACCTATTATCATCAAAATATCAAGATTCTGTTTAAATGTGTAGTACATCATCAGAATAGAATGTAAGAATATAAAACGTACGGCATGTCCTCCAGGAAAAAGCGGGTACTTGATAGTCCAAACAGGCTCTCAAGGTTCCTGCACATCATTTTATGAGCTTGCATGAACAACATTCAATTGAGGAGTTCCTCAGCAAGTATGAATATACTCACCTATCTTGAGAGACGGGGAGGCAAATTCATGCAGTTCTAATCTAATTGTGCTGGTAAAAACATCAGATAATGCAATCTGGTGGACAGAAGTTGAAAAGGGAAGAACACACTTTCTGTTGCACAGCAAATTATGAAAATGAGAATTATTGCATGATCCATCCAGAAAAAGGCCCTAATCAACAGCAAAAGGTTTATGTCACAAATTTGCGACGTGTGAGCAAGACACACAGTATAGGAGCACATACATGCAGCAATACTCTTTATCTTTCTGAAATTAGTCATCAATATGATTCCATTTGGTGGAGGACAGAAGTCCAATGGGCAGCATACAGAGACACTTTCTGTTGTGAAGCAATTAAGCAAATTTTGAAAATGGGAATTATACATGATCATTCCAGAAAAGGCTCTAACCACTAGCAAAAGGTTTACATGGAAAATTCACGACGTGGGAGCAAGATACATTAAAAGCTCTTTCTGTAAACCTCAAGGCGACAGGGATTCAAATCACTTTCTCAAGGTTGCTGTGAGCCTTCCAGCAAGTTGCACAGAACGGACACGCACAGAAGAGGTGTCACTATCAAACTTAATTAAAACAAATTTTCATTATGTAGAGCATTATACTTGGATAAAACCAGGCGTCTGTTCTAAATTCATAGACCAAGGTGCATATTATAAACACAAAGTGGAAGGCAATAAAGACAATACAAAGCTGCCTTCCTTTTCGAGAACCAGCAGAAGCTGCCACTTGGCAATTAAATAAGCTAGCAGTTGTCTTAAGAAAATTCCAATGGGCTCAACTCCACAGTACCCATGAGATCAGCTCATCTTAATGGGAAGATAGATATTTCAAAAGGTAAAGATTTAAAATGGGTGGACCAGGGAAAGCATTTGACTTTTTCTCATTAGTTAGTCATTAGAACCACTTAATCATAGCATTAGCACCAAAAAATCACTTCTAATCTTCTATTCAGTAAGCTGGAAAATTCTACCAGCTGCCTTAAATAGGTCCGATGTACTTAACTAAAATTAATTACCAAATATGTGACAAAATCCAACGTCATTGGCAAGTGAAGAATAAAAAGTGCAATATTACTCGGGAAATTCGTATACAACACAATAGTGGCAATATTATGTTCTGCCATCTAAAATGTTCCCTTTTTCAGATTATTCTCTCAATCAATTTGAGGGTTTTCACACAGATTTAAGACATTAATCTCCTTTTCCAAATCAGCAACAATACTAGATAATGGAAACCCAAACTGAACCAAACCAAACATCAAACCATTGGACAAGGATCCTCCCTATGGCTGGTCATGCATGCAGTCTTCAACATCTAAGATAAAAAAATACACCATCATTACTCAATGCCTTTGAAAAGACCGCCTCCTATGGCAAGGCAAGGGAGTTGGATGTACCCAAACTGTACCCAAGCAATAACAAAAAGGCTATGCCAAGTTAATCCTTTGACCCACAATGCACCAACCATATAGTTCATAATAAGAAAAAAGTACAAATAGTTTGATAAAGGGTTCTACAGTAGCCCATAATCCAAAGCCAAATAATTATGAATCCTTGCCTCCTTTAGATTAAAGGGCTATGTCTGTCAGAAACTATGCAAACTATACTAGCTTCTAACCAGCATCTGTTGTTTTATAAGGTCACAACCTTCCAAATATTATTTAGTAGTTCAAGAAATATATTTAAAAACTAATAGAACTAACATTAATGGTATACAACACAATAAATGTCTCCTCATTATACCTGTTCCTAAAATGTATATGAACATTTCAAGATGGAGGGGTGTACATTATAAGCTTGTTGCTTAGTAAACTCTAACAATAAGAAGAACACACACACACACACATACACACAAATCACAATAAAAATAAATAAATAAGCCACATGAACTACTTAAGCCACATAAACTACTTGGCTAATGATATATCGCACATAGGTGACTGATTTAGCACTAAGAAATAAGATATATGAGTCTTCTAAAAGAACATCTACAATTTTCCATTTTTTTTTCTTCGTCTTGTCATGTGAATTTCAGCATCTATGTTACAATGTATTCTTCAACTAATTTAGTGATAATTAGGAATATACTTCGATAGATTGATCAACAAGAAAACATACACCTATAAATACAAGAAAGAAAAACCTTCAAGATGTTCAACCAAGATCTACAACTAACTAGAGATCTGGATCCTTGGAGGAACTAGTGAAAGTTTACCTGAATTATAGTTATGGCCACCAGCAAAGGTCTTTCTAATATCTAAATAAACTGGGCTTTCTTCAGGTCTGCAATGACTCCCTTGTCCTCTTTGCTTCTTTCATTGTAGATAACCTACAAAGTTGAAAAGAAAATATTTGTATGTGATGTTCGGTTTCCTTTTTAAGGACAATGGAGTAGAAATCTTTAGGATAAAAGAAACAACAGTTCCTGTACATAGGTATACCTTATCAATGATACCATATTCAACTGCTTCACTCGGGCTAAAATATTTTGGACGTCGGATGTCGGCTTCAATCACTTCAGGAGGTTTTCCAATATGTCTTGAAAACAGCTTAACCTTTAAGGCAAACAATATATGTTACCCTCAATTCTAACATCAAAATCTCAACCATCAACAGCAGATCTTAAGTTGAATACAAAGTACGAAGTATTAGAAATAATCAACACTTCAACAGCTATGGAGCATTTTGCATTGCTAATTGCTAGAAAGTACTCCAGAGTACAAGTGAAACAAATTAATACAGAAGAAACAACTAAAGTCCTGTTCAGTTCACCTAAATTTTTCTGAGCTGAAATTACTGATTTTACTGAAACCTATTTAATTTTGACTGGATAAAAGTGATTGTTACAGATGATGGCTGATTTTTAATGTATAAGATTTTAAATAGAGTGAACAGGGCCTAATTGACACTTTTTTCATATAAGCACTTGGACATACAGACACTACAGTAGTTAGCATAAAATAATTGTTAAAAGGTTTATGAAAGAACGAGGGAGTATGAGGGCCATTCATATTATTTTTTTCTTTTTTTTCCCCCTCTTTCTTTAAAAAAGAGAAGGCCATGAAGGTCACAGGATGAAATATACCCTCCTTCCGCAGCAAAACAAAAAGCAGAAAGAGCATGAGGAAACCCACTAGATTTATGAGAACCCCCACACGGCCACACCCACCCACATCCCAATACCTAGCTCAAGGAGGGGCCAGGGGAGGAGAAATTCATTGAGAAAGAAAAAGGCCAAAATTTTCTACATTCGGTATTAGAACTCAGGAGGTCCTGCTTTTTTTCTTCAAGTCAGTACCTTCTCTTACAATGTGAACTGAGCTTACCATAGTAGATTTACTTGATTATTATCACTAGATTCAGTAAAGTGAAACATCAAATTTTGCAACAAAATAGAACAATATTGCTAGAGTTGGCAGTTGTCTCGAGTGGTGTCAGATTTGAATGTATACAGGTTGAAACCCCTTAAACCCAAACACAAGCCATATATAAATTGGGTTTAAGATCCTTCATTAGGAAGAAGGCCAAAACATGCACCTAAAGCCAAATCTTTTCCCCTCTCTTAGGACACGAACTGGGAATCAGAGTGTGTGTGTGGGGGGGGGGGGGGGGGGGTTGTTATAAGCACAACATGGAAAACTAAATTCACAAAAGCAATCGATTACAAGGATCTGGACGTTTTTGAAGGTCTGTTTACTGTTGCATAATACCGTTGATCATTACAAATTTAGCTAATATGCGGCCAACAAAATGACATGGTACTTTATTTTGCTTTATGAAGGCAAGCAAATAGACCTTGGAATAAAATAAATGTGCAGTAAAGTAGTAAACTCAATGTTGGAAAAAACTCAAAAACATTATTGGAGACTTAAGTTCTTTTGAAGATGAGATTAAATTTAGCAATTAATACAAAGGATAAACATAGCATATATAAACCTTTGATAAATCAACCTTCCAATTCCATACATGGGGTAATTTAAATAATTACATTTCCTTTTCAAATAATTTGGAGATCAATGTAAGATTATAAACAACCTTATAAAACATTTAAATATTTAATATCAATCAAAAATATACATTAAAACAAGCTCATAAAATTTCTTTCACAAACATTCAACATTGTAGTACACGTGGCTAGATCTTTAATGATGCGCTTTTATACACAAACATGCTTTACGTATTAAATGATTGCATGTATAAACCAGTACCAAGTAATTGTGTAATATGATGAAGACATTCACACAGCTTAATTGCCCTTTCGTTTAATACCATCTCAATATAATGTATTATTGATATAAACAATGCCAAGATATGAATTATGTAAGTCATTACCAATTCTGTCTTCACATTCGTTACTTCTTTCCTGGCAAGTTCAACATCACTTGCTTGACCTTGGAACCTTGCAATTGGCTGCAGAAATTGCACAGAAGGGTTTTTAAAACCATCTGAAGAAAATATGCATCTTGAGAGAAATTAAGTGGGAAAAGGTACGGAGAAGAGAAATCATCAATGACAAGTTAAATAATGACCTGTTTCATCATAATGGTAGAGGATGGCAGAGCAGCACGATTTCCCTTTGCACCAGCAGCTAGAAGCAAGGCTGCCTCACCCCAGGCATTGCCAACGCATAGAGTAAAAATAGGTGGCTTGACATACCTGAAAGAGATCAAATACCAACATTAACAGATGAAGCAAAAATCGGATAGCACTTGAATAGTTAAACATATAAAATTGGAATTTCATATATTCAGCAGCAAAGATTTTAATTTAAATAAAAAAAAAGGAAAAGAATATAACCTCATAACATCGTATATAGCAAAAGCCTCTGTTTCATACCCCAGCTTCTCACCACCCTAAAGGAGAAAAGGTGAGATAACCATCAATATCAGCACCGAAGACCTAACATTAGATGACAAATTGAAAACGGATGGCACTAAAAGAATTCAAAAGACAATATAAACAAGTGATATAGGAAATCCGCAACAACTTCCACAAATTTGGTACATTTGAGTAGCTTCGAGAATATCGCTATAGGAACTAATCTTCTATAAGCACAAGCAAGATATTAAAAAACTGTTAAAGATCACCATTAGAAAAGGAACTTGTCAATGGAGAACATAAGAGGACCATTTCAGTAATGATCTTTCCACTGGAAAAAGTCTGAGCAGATTGTCATTGAATTTTTGCCCCTTTATCTCAAGTGACAAGTTTCACAACCACAGAAGTCTACAATAACATATATATGCCCTCGTCACAAAGGTATACTATCTCACAGTCATAGTATCACCACTGATCATCAATGATTTAATCATAGTGATCAACTATCATTATGATTGTCTAAAATTCTTATTGCATTTCATTTCACAAGTTTGATTCACATTATTGGCTTAGATACCTTAAAATTTCTACAAACTAAGAATAAAATCAAGACATATGGTATAAAATCTATTATCTCAACAAGGCAGACAGATAAACACCAATGTCATTTTTGGGGTAATCATGCAAAAGATGGGTGAACAGTAGATAAAACAGAGGTCCTTCTCCATTTTTAGCACAGACCTCTACAATTTGAAGAGCAATGTGAAGAAGAAATTCATAATCAATCACATAATCCAATTAACATACAAGAAGGAAGCAGCACAAAAAATCACCTTTGTTGTTCCAGTAGAATTGATGTAAAGATATATTGGCTTTTCCTCATCCTCATATTGAAGATATAAGAATTCTGCAAGTATTAGCTCAGTCACAGAGGGCACAAGAGACATGCCTAAATAAACTATGCGGTTCTTGTACAAGTAAGAAGCCAAATCTGGTGGTGGCTGCTCCCAAGCACTTCCTCTAGAGAAAGGTATGACCTGTTATTTGTCAAAATACATTATGCAACTACAGTAAACCATTCAGACAATATTCTATTGTATAACGGATATATATTAAAACCTGATTCATCTTATAACAACAACAACAACAACAACAAAGCCTTAGTGCACAGCATTCTCATGTCTTGTGCCATGCTGATTTTCAGAAATGTAGCACAGCTGCACAGGCATAGCCCACCAGGAGTCTCTCAGGCAGGACCAGGCCACATGCACAGCCCACTTCCAGCCAATTTAGAAGCAAAGGAATACTTAAAGATTGGTTTTGTACATATGTTCATTAGATCTTCACACACACACACACACACACAAAAAAAAAAAAAAAAGGGTTCTATGTACCCAGTGAAGTCCCATTAATAAATTTTGCAAAGAGAGATACCAGTTGTCACAAGCAACATGAGAAAGAAAAGAACTGCACTCAGAATTCACAATATATGCACATGCCCCTTCTTTCATCACCATAAAGCAGCCTAGTGTGTGATGTTTATTCAGAATTTTGAATCCAAGCAGAGGCTATTATACCCCCTTGCCAAATACAAAAGACCCCTTTTCAGCCTTAGCAAACTAAGCATAGAGGTATTATAATATGTTCCCATAAACAAACCCGCCTACTTCATTCTTGCATATCATGAATCAATACTTAATCTGTGTTAGCTAAGTCAACTAACAAGAAATTGTCCAAAACAAGTCAAGGGTCCTAGTATATAACCTCTAAGAAATGCTAAGGCAGTTCTCAAGATGAAATAGATAAAGAGGTTTACTAATATAAAGAAGACCCCAGGAAGAGTCTGGGTTGGTGGATCGACATTTCTTTCTTATGGTTTGGGTATTCCGAAACTATTTAGCTGGTGATTTGAATCATTTTACTATAAAGGCATCCTTTAAAAGTTCAATATCGGTTGTTCATCCACTATCACTTTACCACTCACATTTGTAAAACTATAAGTCGATTCACCAACTTATAGCTCGCTCCGTATAATTGCCAGTTTTCTGTTACAATTTCGACACTCATAACTGTTCCAAAAACATAGAATCAACCACCACAATTACATTGAAACCAGGATGATCAATTCAGCCAGTCCCCTTATTGCTCTAAATCAATTTCTCCAAATACACATCATCTCTTAAGTTCAAATTGCACATACATTTTACCAATACTACAGCTACACCCTAAATTTCAGCTTTCCTAATCAAAACGTTAACAATCTGGAAAATAATCAAATTACAATCACACAACCTCCCAAAATAACTAAAATAAACAACTCAAAAACGCAAAATCGAATTGAATTATATAGAAACCCTAAAATTATCAGACATGGAAATAAAGAAACGAGAAAGAAAGTAAAAAAATCATACCATGGTAACAACGCCGCGCTTAGGCCGAGAGTTCGACGACGTAAGAGAATGAGGTCGCCGGAGTTTATGGCCGGAAAAGTCACCGGAGACGCTACCTCCGACATAAGGAGAGAGAAAATTGGAGGAAAGAGAAGCTCTGAGAGAGGAAGCGCGAAATGAGGCGGTGGTGGTGGTAGTTGGTTTGGAGTGAAGTGGAGGAGAAGGTGAGCATAATCGGGAGGTGAGGAAAGAGTGGGAAGACGCCATTGATGCTGCCATTGAGCTTGAGCAGAGGAGAGAGAATTGCGAGGAAGAAGAAGAAGAAGAAGAAGAAGATAGAGATTAGAGAGAGAGAAAGAGGAGAGAGAAAGTGAAAGAGGAAGAAGCCATTGTTAAAAGATCCGACCCATTTTTGCTTAAAGCTAAACCGTTTTTTTTGTAACAGAATTGTTTTGGTTTTGTGGTTTGGGCTTATTTTATGGGTTTGATGTGAAACATGCATAACACAAGATTTAGGCTTGTATTTGGGCTTTGTACAGTTTTTACCAGATTGGACTTATTAATGGTATTATTCTTAATTAACGTTTTGTATCAAAAAGTTGTACGGAGTAATATACTTGAATTGATTTTACGGAGTATGACCATGTGAATTGTTGAAATATATTATATACATCTGGGTGTACTGAGCACCCAACTATCCCAAAGTTAGTTTTGGTATTCATTTAATGATTAAATTAAAAACAATCATTAAAACGAGAACTAAATGCTCATGGGTATACCATGCACCCGGGTGTATATAACAATTTATGCATCCCTCACTTTTACTCGAGATTTTGATATATGTCTCGAAAATCTTTGAAAATGGTTTAATTTTGTGTATTATAGCTTTTGATATAGCTTTCGAAGAATATTTTCAAATCTGAAAAGGTTATGCATCAAGGTGTTTTCCACGCTTGGCAAAGGAATCTAGGGAGATTTTGGTGGTCAAAACCATCAAATTCATGCCTTGGTTCATTGTACTCCTCATAATTATGTCTTCAATGGCCTATTTACCTTTAGGTCATACAACCCATGTCATTTTAGGCTCAGGCTCATGCTCATGCTCATGCTTTGTCTCTTCGAAATACCCTTAAAATTAAAGTCGAGTCAATATGCTACTTTGTATGACCATATACATAGGTGCTTTAAGACAAGGAGGTTTAGCGTCCATATTTTGTGCCTCAGCTCATGCCTTGTGGACGCTTAGCTTTGTACCTTGGTTGGGTAGCATTGCCTATGCCAAACTTTGGTTTTAATTTTCACTCATATTATTATAACTTCAACTTAATTTTCTATAGAATAAGTAAAATAGGATGAGAAAAATTAAACAAAGGCAATATATTATTAATAAAGAAAAGGATTATATATTAAGTCCTTTGACCTTCATAACATGCAATTTATTTTAGTTGGGGTGATTATTAATTAAGATACATAAGTTACATTTTATATGTACGTAATCGCGTGTTAGTGAGTCCACAAACATAGGTCCACTGTTTTTAAGTATACCTTGACTTTATTGATTATCATTTCTTAATTTTCACATTGTTAAAACTTTTAGTGGATGGTTGTTAAATATTATAAAAGAAGGTATTCAGTGCGGCAAACCGCACCAAATAATTCGTGCGTCAAGTATATATGATATGCAATATTTGATCAAGATATGTATTATTTGATAGAGGATATGTATAACTTGTTGGAGGATATGTGTTATTTAATAGAGGATACGTACAATTTTGTTGTAGGATATATATTGTTTGTTATAGGATATGTAGTATTTGATAGAGGATATGTACAATTTATCTTTGGTAGAGGATACTACAATTTGTTAGAGGATATCATCATATAGCTAATAGAGGATATCCAGCCTATAGATGATATCATAGACACAATTATAAATGATATCATATAGCCAATAGAGGATATCATCCAGCCTATAGATGATATTATAGACACAATAATAAATGATATCATATAGCCAATAGAGGATATCATCCAGCCAATTAAGGATATCATAAACACAATTATAAATGATATCATGTAGCCAATAGAGGATATCATCCAGTCTACTATTGATGATATCATATACACAATAGATGATATCATTTTGCTTATATCATAGAACCAGTAGAGGATATCATCCAATTTATAGAAGATATCATAAAAACAATAGAGGATATTATCAAAACAATAGAGGATATCATCCAACTCATAAAAGATACTCGTATCATAAAAACAATAGAGGATATAAAAAAAACAATAGATTAGATATCATCCATCGTATAGATAATATTATAGACACAATACATGATATCATCCAACTTATTATAGATGATATAATCTACACAATATAATTTATTTTATAAATATAATTAAAAGGTCAACAATGGCGGAACCACCATCGAAGGTCCCGTACTAAGCTCATGGGTATTACCTAACATGCTCATTTCTCAACCAAAATACATGCATTTGTTATCAAAAGCTCACAATTCAACATACAATCACTTAAGACAATCAATTTCAACAATTATACATCACACAAGAAAGCCTCAAATCGATTTTTTTTGAGCATTTTTCGAAAAATACGAGAATCTCAAACAATTATCAAGCCAATTCAAGCATAACTCATGGACAAATATAATCAACAATCTTTATTTTCGCTCTCCTCTCCATCCTCTTCAATTCAATCATAAATCATGGACAAATAAAATGGAAGAATTTAGCAGAAAGTTGAGGAGAGAGAAAATAGGGGTGGGTTAAAGTTGAGGGAGGAGAGAGAAAGTGAAGTAGGATTGAGTGGGAGTACTGTTGGTGGTGGTGAGTGGAAATGATCGAGGGTGTGAGAAGTTTGTATTGTCGTACAAATAATAGCTGGACTGACGAAATGTTTGATCAAGCTGGACTGACCTAATAGTTTGTGATATTATAAACTAAATATTGTATTGAAACCTTTACTTTACAAAGAAATTGATAGAGTACAGTACAATAATTCAACAACTTATGTTAATATGATGTATACCCATTAACATTAACACTCCATTTATGAATCTATGATAGCATAATGCTCGTCACATATTCATAAAAATTGATATAATATCAATTGGCTTAGTTCAAATGCAACCTATTTACCTATATGGTGATGCAAGTTTAAGATTAGCTCTCCTTAATACAATACTATACTTCAATTCATACAATTATATAATCCCACCAAACCAACATCTAGGTATATATGTAACACGTGTTTATGATAAAAACATCACTCATTTTGTTTTAATTTAGCTGTCACACTGTTAGTTCTATTATCAACATGATCATTTGGATAGAGAAATTAAAGTATTATTGGTTGCAATCGTGTTGGTATTTTATTTTTATGTAAGGTTGGGTAATTTTACGCTTTTGTAGGCGGAGTGGTAAAAGGGACGTCTTTAGTGCTGCTTGCTGTACGACTTAGCTCCAATCCGACGAAGAGTTTCTTCAATTTTAGCATCCCTTTGCTCCAAAGGAAATTGCAATAAAATGTCAAGGGCATTGTAGTTTTTGCCATTCAAGGTGTTTACATCTACTTGTAGAGTTCCAGCTGAATTGGTGCAAGTGTTCAACAATGCTTCAACCATCTGCAATTCAAGTTCAAATAGTCAGTAGTTTAAGAGCTTTCTGACTAAAATATTGGATCATAAAAGCTACTAGGATCATAAATAATATGGCAAGTACTCTTTATTGTCTTTAGTAAGTAGGTTTTTTTTTTTTTTTTTTTTTTTTTTTTTTTTTGAGGAAGTCTTTAGTAAGTACGTGATATAAATAATTGTTAAAAAAAAGTATGAGAGATAAATAAAGCCAAAGTGATTAGGTTGCCAAGAAAGAATCTCAAAAAAAAATTATGTAGCATTCAGTTTTTAAGTTACAACTCAATTAGAAGCAGTCAAGTCTCATGTGATTATGTGAGTTGAGTAGTATTACAATTAACTTTTGATATAGTGATCCTCATAGATTGATGTCTACGGAATACATTAAATTTCTTCGATTTTTAGAATGTTTATTATTATTATTATTATTATTATTATTATTATTATATATACACGATGATAAAGCAATTTTTAGAACGAATTTTACAAGAAATGCATTAACCTAAGCTAAAATTAATAACACTGACTGACGTGTAAATTTTAGAAAATATTTTAATGCCTATATCTAATCTTTATAGTTACACATAGCAAAGCTGGTGTCTTTCTATTGTGTAACGGTTGTCGTTACACTTGTATCATCTCAGAAGATATATTATATACCTACATTTAATTTTATGGCTACACGTATCAAAACCATTTCTTTTATATCATGTACGGTCGTTGTTTCTTCACTTCTTGTTCATACTTAATTCATAAGATGACGTTAAATTATTGTCACAAAGACTATGACAAGAATAGACTGATATAGGATGTCACTATAATTACTCGTGACAGGTATTATATGTGTTACTCAAACTCTTTATTTTACTTAAATATTCGAGTTAGACTTTCAACACTTAAAAATAGAAAGGGCACTTATTCATTTAGACACTTCATTTAGTTCAAAACTACTTCAAAAATTATGTAATGTTTTTCACAAAATAGTCGAGTTGGACACATACCCGTGTCGGATATGCGAGTAACATAGACTAGGTATATATACTTTAAACATTAATTAACCAAGTTTTTTTTTTTTTTTTTTTTTTTTTTTTTTTTTTTTTTTTTTTTTTTTTTTTACAGGAGGGTAATTAACCTAGCATTCACAAAGATAAAATTAGAAAAGTTTACCTGTTGCTGTTTCATCATGATAGCCAAATGCAATATAGTGTTGCCTTCATCATCCTTACAATTCAACAAATCACTAGTCATCTTACTCTTATCAAATGAAGAAGCATAAACTGCACCCATCATTGTTATGTTCCCTTGAGATTGATTAACCAATTTAAGCTGCTCAAGCAAGACCAAGAAAGCACCTAACTGCTTGTTCTTCACTGCAAGGTGAAGGGCGGTTTCGTTTCGTGTTGTCGTGTCCATGATGCAGCTAGGATAATACTTGACTAGAAACTTAACAACTTCAACCTTCCCTGAAATCACTGCAACATGCAGGGGAGTTCTGTTTTCTTTACCCTTACTTAGCTCTTTTTTTGTAGGGGCTAACTTTTCTAGTAAGTTTCTAACCATCTCAACTTGACCAGTTTCTGCTGCTAAGTGAATTGGACTACACCCAAAACGATCAATTTTCGTGATGAAAGACGGCCTTAAGCTCGTGATTTCCCTAGCAAAGTAAGGTTTTCGAGCTAAGACAGCTAAGTGTAAAGGAGTCCTAGTAAATAGTACATCATCTATGAAATTAAGTATGTGAGGCTCATCATCAAGTAATGCATAAAATGCCTCTATGTTTCCTGCTTGACATACTTGTACCAATCTCTTGTCCATTTTTCTTTGGTGTGAATTTTCGTAGCTCGATTTTTCGCTTAAAGTTGAGGAGGTTTGAGGTATTGGTAAGGATTTAGAGCTTGTTATATAGAACAAGCTTAGGTTGAATTTTTTTGAAGCATGATGAGTTTTTCATGCAGAAGTAATGGTTGCTTGTTTGTAGTCCTCCTTTTAAGTTCACAAGAAGTCAATGAGTAAATGTAACAAGAAAAGTGGGCGATATTACAGCCTAATAATATTCTTGCACGTCAGTTACACTTGTTCCTTGTTTCAATACTTTAACATCATAGTAGATTAGTGAATAATATAATAATATATGTAGTGATTATAAATTGTCAAGTAAACAAGTTTCTTAAGATAATTAGTATAATTGAAGTATGCATATAGCATTATCATTTAGATAAGCAATTTGATTTCTACTACAATCATATTCGACGAGAGTTTCTCAAACCTTACCTACCATAATAACTTGCTTGATTAGATTAGATTAGATTACATGGAGTAACATAATTTGGATATTGGTAGTCAATTTTCTTGAGAACAATCAAGTAAGTAATGTCATATACTTTTTGAAATAAAAATTAAAATGTACTTCTAGTTCTTATTATCAATATACTCCACAATTTGTGGTTCATACTCCTTCAGACGTCCCTTTTTTTTTTTTTTTTTTTTTTTTTTGCATCATCTGATCCAAAAAGAGGGTTTATGGTGCGAGGGTGAAGGGTACTATTTTTGCAAAATTAAAGGTACAATTAATGTCACTTGTAAGATTAAGCAACAAATCAAATCGTTTTTGCATGTTTAAATGATTGATAGATATTATTTGTAACCAATTTTTATTTAATCATTGATTTTGCAGGTTTAAATTATTGATAGATATTATTCGTAACCAATTTATATTCAAATATTTGTGATAATATTATTACAACAATTTTATTTTTTGACAATATCGATTACAGACTATGACTTTATAACCTCTTACGAGTTTGTATATCTCTTAATCTCAAATTCACGAGATCAACCTCAAAATGAACTCTTTGTACTGTAACCATTATTGATTGAACAAGCCTATCGAAAAAGATACAACCTAATTGTGTTGACCAATTTAAAAAAACGTAGTGGAGAAACTTAATGAGCAATAAATAACAAACCAATAAAAATGAATCAATAAGGCACTAACTAAGCAAGGTTATGAAATCAAATCTCACTCAGGACTCTTTAGAGATGCACATCCCCTATCTTTCCCTTTAAATCTCTATAAGTCTGACCTACAAAGTTAGACCGAGCCTTTACATTAAATCTCATGCCCAAACCCGTAAAAAAGGCCAAGCTTTTCGGGCCAGATTTGGGTTTTAAACTAAAAAAGTGTTTTCTAGCTTACCCAAATCCGCCTTATTTTTTTCCAGATCCGATCATAGCTAATACATGTATCGATTTAGTAAGGTTCTTATCTTTGTTATTAAAAAATTAAAATTAAAATTAAAATTAAAATAAAAGCCACTAGCTTTAGAAAGTACAATATGCATGTAGTAGTAGCAAGAAGACAAACAAGTTAACCAAAGGATTGAAGGTGAGCCCCTAAAACCAAAAAGTGATTTGTTTTTCTCTCAAACTCACCATGAATTCTTCTCAATGAACCCATACTCCCACCATCTTCAAACTACAACACTCTCATGTTCATCTTCTTCCTCATTAAAATCATCATTCAATCCTAAAGAATAATGAAAATGGCCTTACTATCTTCATCTTCAACTCCCACTCTCTCTCCTCTTCCTTCTTCTAAACCCCACCATAATCTCAATCTTACCCACAAACCTTATCTTCTTCCTCTTCCCAGAAAAACCCACCTCTCAATTTCTCCAATTAGAGTTTCTGCTTCTGATAATGGAGCTGGGGTTGTAGCTTCTTCTGCTGTTGTTAGTGAAGAGAATGTTCTAGAAACCCCATCTGAAGTAAAAGGAACTGGGTCTGATTCTGTAGATTCAACCCCCAAAAAAATTGAGAAAAATGCAGAGGATGTTACAGAAATTAAAGCTTCTGAAGAGGTTGTGAAGAAATTTGTGGACCACAGATGGGTTAATGGGAGTTGGGATTTGAAGCAGTTTCAGAAAGATGGAATTACTACTGATTGGGATGCTGTTATTGATGCTGGTATATGCTCTAAAATTTGAATTTTTATACCCTTTTTTTTTTTGTTTTTTTTTTTTGTGAATTTCTAATTTCAATTTTTGTTGGTTTATGGGTGATTTTATCCTTGATTTTGTCTCTAGCATTGATAAGTTTTTGCTGAATTTAAAGGATTAACTAAGTAGGTTATATAGTCTTCATTTCTTGATTGAGATTTTAAGGGGTTTAGGTGGATTTTTGTACTGTTTGTAGCATTTACATTTACAAGAAGTGTAAGTTTTTATCAATGGAGTTTAGAAATGGAGCCAAATTACTGCATTGATTCTAGTTTTGCATGTTTAGATGCATATTTTGATAGTTGTTTTTTACTGCCAGTTTGCCATTGCATTGAAATGGGTGGGTTTTCTGCTGGTGAGCTTGAAGTTTCAATTGGAGATCAGAATTAAGCTAGAGTGGCTAGATTAAAAAGGATGAAAATGCATTGTTCTCAACTTCTTATTATACTTGGTTGTTAGATGTAATTTTAGAATGAAGGTAGGATGTTAAAATTGGTTATTTGCAAGTCATTCTGAGTTCATCTAAGGTCCGATGGTAACAAGTTTTCGAAAGTGTCACCTTTTTCCATCGAGCCTTTCTAATCGGTGCTTGATGATCAGAGGTTTCGTGTGTTATGATCACATCCATAGTGAGAAATTCATGGTCTGGCTTGCCCCTTTTTGCTCTCTGTGAGCTATTTGTTTTTGGCAGTGTGCATTTTGCAATTTGTGTTCTATTTTCAATGGTGTTTGGTCATCTACTCATCTGACTCATTTCTCACAGAAAAAGTAATTTTTGTGCTAATATCCTATTTATTACTCCTATGATTTTGCTGTTGTGATCTTTGGAACTGTATTATGACATTAAATGAGACATCAACTATCTTCTTATTAGTGTTTCCTCAAAAAAAAAAAAAAAACCTATGTTCTTATTATTGACATGATTTTGTAATCAATTGGGTTCTCGATTGATGATTTGTAGAGGCAAGGAGGAGGAAGTGGCTCCAAACCTACCCAGAATCAACCACTAATGATGAACCTGTTACTTTTGACACCTCAATCATTCCATGGTGGGCATGGATCAAAAGATTCCACCTTCCTGAAGCCGAGCTTCTTAATGGTTTGTTTCCACACATAATGCACACAAATTGTGTCTTACTTTTATCGTTCAACTTCAACTAACTGATTTCTTTTTTTCTTTTGGGTTTGGCAGGCCGTGCTGCTATGATTGGTTTTTTCATGGCCTATTTTGTCGATAGCTTGACTGGTGTAGGTCTTGTCGATCAAATGGGTAACTTCTTCTGTAAAACCTTGTTATTTGTTGCTGTTCTTGGTGTGCTGTTCATTCGTAAGAACGAAGATCTAGATAACTTAAAGAAGCTACTAGAAGAGACAACTTTGTATGACAAGCAATGGCAAGCGACATGGCAAGATGAGAGCAATACTACTTCCAAAAAAGATTAGCCCATCTAGTTTATCAGATTTTTAATCTGAATATGGTTTTGTTTGTATGTTAAGGATAGGCTTCATCCAATATTGTATTCAGAAAGACTTGGTTAGCACTTTATTAATACTTGTATCATTCAGTGCTGAATTTAGGAGCATTCAGTTTATTCTGCAAGAGGAAATGACAAAATGGTTTGCCAATTGCCACTAATGATTCAAATTGATGTTAAACCCTTTATCTGTCATTTGATCTGAATACTTAAGAAACATATAACTCTAAAGTATTTTCGAGGGTCAATCCAAAGCTTGTTATCATTCTTTAAAAAACAAAAGATGATATTAATTTAAGGAAAAATTGTAAATAATCACCCTTTAAAACACCAAAATTTGATTTTACCATTTTTTTTTTTTTTGTTTATTTTAAATAAATCCCTAAAATTAAGAAAATTTATATTTCATTGCCTCTTAACTAAAAATTATCGATTTTTGTGGCGAAATTTGATATTTTAAGGTTTTGAGGGTCAATTTGACCCTTTGGATCCAATTTGAGATCAAAATACCTAAAAAAAAGGTAATGGAAATACCTCATTTTGAGAATGTCACGCAAATCGAGGTAATTTTTAACACGCAAAAATGATGCATTTTCAATAACATTTTTTTTTTTCAATTTTGACCTCAATTAAACCCAAAGGATCAGAGTGACTCCCAAATTTTTGCATGAAAATCAATGTTTTTATTTTAAAAAAAATGGAACTAAATGTTTAGATGTGGTGAAATCAAACATTTTGCATTTTAAAGGGGGGTCATTTAAAATAAACAAAAAGCAGGTGGTAAAATCAAAATTTGGTGTTTTGACGGTAGTTATTTACAATTTTTCCTTTAATTGAATAATTAAAAACATGTAAAATTGGAAATTACTTATATCAATCTTTCCCTAAAACAAAAACAAAGAGACTTCTGAATGTTGCATAATTAAAATTTTATAATAAGAATTGCAAAGACGGTAGCTGATGCACCCAAATGTAATGATTATGTAATCGTTAGATCACGTTCTTCTTGTTCAAATAGAAATATGTCATTTGCTAACTTCTTTTATCCTTTTCCAGAAATGTGTATACAAGAATTTTAAGATACAGGATCGAGCACCAAGTGGGCTTTAACCAATGATTAGCTAAAAAAAATTACTCATAAAATTTAAAGAGCAACCAAAATACCAAATCCTTGAGGCAAAATAAAATTCTCTATATGATTGAAAGAAATACTATTAGCCTAGTTTTCTTATTCTAGTTCTATGATGAGCTAATGACGAGGACTTTAAGACCCGTTACCAAGTACACTGCTTACAAGCACGGTGATTGGAACTCGAGCTAGATGGCCTTTGTCTCCTCGCAGTAACATCTCACCAAAGCTGTAGTTATTAGTTGCATCTGTTGCTTCGAGCACGATCTTCAGCTGCCGTGTAGCATTGTGACTAACAGTAAAGCTTTTTGGCGAAACCTTGACTCTCACACCCATTGGTGGCCTCACAGTGACAGTGTAGGTCTCAGATTCTTCCCCTACATTTGATACCACCCTGACTACTTTCCTTGAACCCACTAAATTTGAGATTGTTATAGTAGGGGTATTCAGGTCCGAGCACCAACCTCCTTTCTTAGGTGGGCACCCAACACCAACTGCCCGCCTCACAGACTCATCATCAACCCCGGGCACAGCACAAAGAAACTGTACGTAATTCTTAAATTTGGCAATGAATACAATCCCAGGGTCAACAGCACGAGTAGGGTTGATGGATCCAGCTCCATAATCGAAAGGAGTGCCTGGTGCTATCTGGTTGGTCTTTTGTGCCATGATGGGATTGCCAGCTTTATCTGATATATCTGTTGTTGTCATCATTGCTGAGATTATAGCAGATGGCTTCCAGTTAGGGTGTCTGTGCTTGATTAATGCAGCAATACCAGCTACATGAGGAGTGGCCATGCTTGTACCTGATACAAGTGCAAAATTTTGCCCTGGTTGCAACAAACAACCACAAATATGAGAATAGAAAATGAAAAGGTTGATAATCACATACAAACGAAAAGGTTGATAATTAACATAAGAATAGAAAGTTAACTACAAAAAAAGTACCTTTTGCATAATGATCTCCCTCACTGTCTGGACTCCAGGCAGCCCAGATAGAAGAACCTGGAGCCATTATAGTTGGTTTCAGAACATCGGCTGTTTGTAGAAGTGCGTTGTTCACATCAGGTCCTCTTGATGAGTAGGAAGCGACAATTGGTGCTTGCCCAGTGTATATTGCCTGTCTGCCATCCAAAATTCTGGCTGTTGCACCGAAAGCAAGCACTCTGCCTGTTCTACCTCTATATGTCCTTGAGTTGTAGTACTGCCAAAGGGCCTGCAATCAAATTTGAACACAAAAAGATTCACATACACTGCATACTAGGTTGCACAGTTTAACAAGTCATAAAAGCTCTCTTTCAGAAATGTGTACAAAAGATATCAATTCATCCTGAAGTCCAATGCAATCCCAAATATAGATAAGAATTTATGACAGTTAACCATACCGTAGAAGCTTGTAAGTTGTTTAGGACAATTCCAGGCACTCCTAGAGTAACTGTGGTTCCCTTGATTTCCTCAGAACCAACATCAGGGTCCATTGTCATTACAAATCCAGCAGCCCCGGCAGTACGGATTGTTTCAGCAACTCTAATTATACTTGCAGAGTCAAATTCAAAATCAAAAGTATATGTGCAAATAACAAGTTTCCCGCGAACCAGAGATGGGATAAAAACATCGGGAGTTTGGCAGCTTTCAAGGAGACCAATGCTAGCGTTGTGGCGACTGACATCAGCTGCAGAAGCAATGGGAAAAAGAGCTTCTCCTGGTGTAGGAGCTGTAAAATATATAAGCTTCTTAGAAAATTATAGTTAGAGAAATGAAGTCTAGCTAAATCAAAAGAAATATAGTAGATGACATGAATTTGCGAGTCTTATTTACGTGCAAGGCCCATTCCAGATAAGCTGTGTCCGTTGCCCAACACGATGGAGGAGTTGTATTTGCGATCAATGATGGAGGCAGCGACAGTCGTAATCCATGGGCTAAAAGATAGAATTGAACTAGAAGAAGGACCACCATTACCAGCAGCTTGAATTACAACAACACCAGCTTTTGTAGCAAACAATAGTTCCATTTCTAGAACATTAAGGAAGGCAGAAGGCCCAGGTGGAACACTAGAAGGTCCAACGGAGAGGCTTAGTACGTCGACTCCATCTTCCACAGCCTAGACAGGAAACAAGATCAACTAAACGAACACATAGACAGCAGCATACATAGCACCAAATTTAAATAAAAAAATTCCGAACCTGATCAACAGCTGCTACAACATCTGACATATAGCCTCCAAATGTATAAAGAGCCTTGTAGACAGCAATGCTAACCAAAATAAGGATAATGCATTAGCAATTAAAGCAGTGAATGTATCCTAAGATACAAGAAAATTCCTCAAGTGATAGATTTAATTATTTTCTGTAACAGATACATAGGTCAGTAAGTTATCTTATCATGTTCGAATTTCTCACCTAGCTCCTGGAGCCATGCCACTCGCATTCCCATAGTTGAAGCCATTGACAATTACCGGTGTTTCATAGTTACCAGCAGCTGTTGATGCTGTATGGCTATCAGATATAGATAGTCATCAAAATAACATAATTAAATTCAGATGGATTACTAAGTATATTATGGACCAACTGTCATTAAAGCACTTGTTATGATGCAATTTTATGTTAATCTAAGGCCCAAATTAATGCTAAATTACCACTCAAGCTCTAAAGATACTGGCATGTTCGTGTTATGTGACTTGCCTTCCATGACCATCAGCATCATAAGGGGAGGCATAATCACGTGTAGCATTAAAGTCACCAGCGGCAATGGCAGCACGCGCAAAATACTGCGCCCCAACTATCTTGCCGTTGCAAGCAGTAAAGGGAAACCTCTCACCAGAGGAACATTTCCCTTTAAACCTGGTACTATAATCATCCATAGAACCCTTAGTTCTCAACGATGGTAGATTGGAAAAACTTGGGTGGTTAGGATTAATTCCAGTGTCAATCAAGCCTATCACCATGCCTTCACCAGAACTCCTCGCACCACCTAAAGATGGCCAAACACCAGTAGGAATTCCTAGATAATCAGGTGTATGAGTGGTAAGCTTCTCCATCTTCATATCTTCATGAATAGCCCTTACTCCTGTTGCATTACGAAGAGATTCAACAGCCTGCAAGTGTAAAAAATTGACAGCTTATAGAACAATAGACAGTCAGAGACTCAGAGGTGCATAGACGAATAATTGAGCCAACATTAGCAGTTCATATCAGTATTAACCCAGGAATTCAGAACATTTTCCTAAAATGGATTTACCTTTTTGGATGTGACATGGATGGCAAATCCATTGAGCAAATGACTGTAGCTGTAGAGCTTGGTGTATGAACCGGAATCCAGCAGGGTCTCCAATAAAACATCATGCTGTTTATCTATCATTTCTTTGTGTACTTTAATGTCATCGTAATTCCTGCAAAGTGCACAAGTTCTGTGAAAAGAACACAGGGAAAACTAAGAGAATGAATAGGTATTTGCAGCATGATATGAGGGAAAAGGCGCTATAAAATCCAAAGTTTATTGTTACCTGGAGCTGCCCTGGTAACTAGTCCTTGAGACAAAGGAATCACCCTCCATGAGAACCATGAAGACTTCAGCATGCACAATGAAGTGATTCAACATGTGACTACAACTAATTAGAAAGAATACAGCTAGACTTAGCCGCATTTCCATATCTACAAGTAATGGCAAATAGCAGCGCATAATGTATGTTAAAAAGATGGTACTTTTTGTCAAAGTTCAAAGAGAGAGCATTCAACCAAACGTATTAATAGGGTGAAATCCACTAAAGGCCAATCACTGCACCAGTATTTTACAGTTGGATCAGGTGGAGAAAATGCCTTCTTGATCAGCCTCATTAATTAGGTAAGCAGGGAAGATTCACATGCTTGCATGCAACTAAATCATCTATTTCTGATGCAAGTAGTTAAATTTATTAGCACCATCCATGCATTCCTCATTACTCACCCACCTCCTCTCTTCTTCTTACTGCACTCTCCTAGACATCCAAGAGCAAGATCTTAGAAAAAGAGAGGCAAACAAATTAAGGGATGCTATGCAGCCCATCTCAAAGAGCTGTTGAAGAGCAACTGTAATATATTAAATAATCGCACCCATACCTTCCTCATTTCTTAACCACTAATCCACTATCCTCCTGCCTAAAATTTGTCATATTGTGGTACACAAAAGTGAAATAAATAGCTGATTTAAGGAACTCAGGTGCCCTCCTTACAAAAATAAGAAAAGCGCCAATGATATCATCAAGAATGCATAAATAAAGCATACTCAAATACAGTCCACACCAGAAGCAACAATCTGAGTTCAAATGACCAATCATGATGGGACGTCACTGAAAACCATCCGGTATCAGATAACTAGATAATGTGATAAGTCATAAAAAGAAGAAAAGGGGGAACAGGGATAACAAAAGAATGATTCAGTCTATACTATTTGATTGTCATAAGACTATTATCATTTGACCTGAATACTATCAATGTCGCATGACATTGGAGCAAATCTTAAGACCCTTTGTCTACTCTATGTTTATATCAAAAAGAAAGTAAAACTACCAAGGAGTGGCCTGGAGGGATATAACCTTGGTAAGACGTTCTTACAAAAAAATAACTATAATTGAAGCATTACAGAGAACACGAGTCATAAAATTTAACAGCATGAAGATTCATGCACGGATCTTGAATTAAATTTCATTAGACACAAAATGACTGATTTATCTAGATCTCTGCTGACGAGTATATTCCCAGATAGCTATGGCACCACTAACATGAACATTGAGAGACCTAACAACCCCTAACTGTGGGATTTCAATGCAAGTATCCAAAACATGGATTATATCAGCAGGTATACCCTCCTTTTCACGGCCAAGAACAAGGACCTGAAATGGATAAGAACAAGTACACATCATTTCAAAGCAACTAATGTCCGTCAAGTACACATTCTGATTAGTTGCATAAAAACCAAGAGCTGAAATCTTCACATTACTCTGGATAATATAAAGCAAATTCTTGACATATAAAACAGTAACTAACCGTTCGTTGGGGGAAGCTGTACTTGTCCAGGGGTATGCTATTTGCAGTTTGCTCCAATCCCAAAATTGCAAAACCCTCTCGCTTTTTTTTCTCCAGAAAGTTTTTGACACTATTCACTGGGACCTCTATGATGGGAACCCACTTCTCTGCCGTGACACTGGCAATGTAACATATATTAATCAAAACAATAATTAATTACATGCCATAAAGCTATCAATCATAACACGAGTACAGCTTTAAGGATAAAAAAAATAAAAATAAATAAATAGATAATTGAAGATATCTTATGCAAGATCTCTGAAACAAGTTTCAACCAAAAATAAAACAAATAAATCAATAAAAAAAACACTTATATATTAAAATTATTTCCAACGGTCACTCTCAAAATTGGGGAGCTTTTGTTCTAAGCCTTACTCCTTTCTCACGGAAGGGGTCGAATGCTCATCAATCCATGACATTTGCTCACAATTTGTTTCCCAAACAGAATTTAGTGGGTTTACTCACAGTTCCTCTCCCTAGGGCCCTGTAGCAAATCTTGCAAGGTGACGGGAAAACATGGCATATAAAATTTATCCAGACATTTACAAATATGTATTGTATATATGTTTTAACAGGGAAAATGTTATCAATCATGAAATATGAAGTTACAGGACAGACTATCAATGCACAAGAGCGCAATTCCAATTATATCACACAGCTGATATAGATGCTCCAAGGAAAGTGCCAGGAACATAAAACCAAAAGGGATACTAGGCACATAGCTCCAAAAAGAGAAGTGAGAGCTCCTTGTTTTGCAGATTGATCTCTCCATCCAATTCATCCACAATTCCACATATAGGCAGACATTCAGACATAGAACCTCCCATCCCTTACACATACCGATTTACCAAACTTATTGAAATATCTATACATAATCCAGCATTGTAGGCTCATAGCAAGGAAACCCCCAACATGACCCAAACATGGCTTTTTTCAATAGTTACCTACAATTCCCAAAAAAAAAAAAAAAAAAAAAAAAAAATAAATAAATAAAAAAAAGTGGCAGGTAGTTTCTCACCATTGGGGAATACAGAGTATAAAAGACACACATTAGGCTACAGGAATAAATTGGGTCTCTGAACTTGCAGCATATAAGTAGTACAGGGTTTCTCAAGAAGCTTTAGAAGTACCATACTCTAGAATACAAAAAGGATTAGCAAACTCATCCAGCTCCCCTCTCGCTTTTCTGTTGACATAGCTAACTCATTGTTAGCAAACCATGTTAAATATGTGTTTTTATTTATTTATTTTGTTAATCTTTACTCTTTTTTGCTAAAGCACCTATGAGAATTTCAGTTTGTAGTGATGATAAACTTAAGTCCTCTTTAAAAACCAAATAAGATATAGAAAGCAAGGGGAAATATTTCCACCGGAAATCAGGAGTTCAGGACCATGATTAACCAAAGAAATTTCCTGACCATGGAACATCCTATAACTGCTCTTCAGAAAAAAGGATTTACACAATGGCAAGAATCTCCACTATTTATTAATGTTCATAGATGATCTTCAATAAAATTTGTTTCATAAATCAACGATAACTTAAAGAAAGAAAAAATATCAAATAGATATAACATACCAAGAATGGAAAATTAAGGTAAACATGTATTGCAAAAGTTTCCAAGTACTGCCGAACTGCAGGCAAGTTGTTTCTCTGCAACAAATGTGACTATCATTAGCACTTCCAAGATCCAATAATCAGTTTTCCACTCCACTATCCCCGTCCCCCTCCTTAAAAAAAAAAAAAAGGGAGACAAAGATGAAAGGACAGACAGCAGTATATATAGATTATGCAGAAAGACCTACAAATGCATAATGTGAAAATAAAAATACTATATATACAGGAGCAAGCATATCAATCTTGGATACATGAATAATATATATACTTCTTTCTGATTTAAATCTTCAATCAGCAAGTAAAAATATGAAAATGAAAATAATAAATTCTAGTGGAAAATATTTTAGAGGTTAAGTTTTTGTATAGATGTAAAGTTCACTAGAAATTTGTGCAAGGCCAGCAAAAGGCAAAACCATTGTCAAACATACAGAAATATAATTTAGGTATTCCAGTTGGTCCAAGGGGTGGATGAAATGGCAGCAGGTGTCGATTTTTCTGTGCCAACACAATATATTCTGTGGGCATTCTAAGAAGGCGTGTGCTTTAGCTGACATTCTAGATTGCATTGGGCTTTTCAAAGCCAAGGAGATTATCTTTACACCTTGACTTGTCTGGCGCCTTATTCTCAGATAAGTTCATAGTGCAGATAAATTTATACAAATATAGTGCAGATAAGTCAAAATAAGTTAAAGAGAGCACAACCTAATCCTTCCCGAGGCCCTTATTCTCTCCAATTCACATAAAAAATACAAACCTACTTCAAAGCCTACTTCATATGATTACCAGAGTAGTCCTAAAAAAGCATTTAGGGTTCTTAGGTTGAGCTCTGCATCATATTCATACGGTCATACCATAGAACGAAAAAAAGTCAGCTGCTTCTTTCTCATTTATGGTAGACTGATTTCCAGAGTGCACATAATGTAGCATTTCATCTAACAAAGATAGTTACTTACGTACAAGGATATGGACAAGCTCTGTATTACTTGCAGAACAATATCCTGATCAATAAATCTTGATAGAATACATAGCATTTGCCAAGCCCGGACTTTTCGACGATGAGTCTGTTCAGCAAAAAAAGAGCCACATCAGCAAATGGAGGAAAGCAACATGGACTAAACTACTCTATGGTAATTGAGTTTAATGCAAGATGACTAGAGTTACAGTTGAGTGAAAAATAAAAAGATACTAAAAGCATAGCAAGTCATCAAGCATCACAATGTTCCTCAGTAAGAATAATCAAGCCTGCAGTTCCTGAGTTGGTGCAAAAGCAACCATGGAGCATGAGGACTGATGATAAAAATTTATTTCTAGGATTCATAAGTGGATTCTATGTAAGTTTTTAACACCATCTGATTACTCCCAAGTAGTTTTTAGGAATTGCCTTTTGACTAAGAGTGACTATCTCCTACTAAACCTCAATTACGAGATTAGGTTTTAACATGTGCAGATATTCCAGGATTAAATCTTTTTAAATTAAACATTGAGTTTGAAATTCAATATTTTTAATTCAGAAATTTCAATAAATATCTTTTATAATTTCGATTTTTATAAGAACTTTGTCTTTCAATTTATGAAAACAGTCATTTTAATATTAATATAGCAAGTTTAACAAAATTTTCATCTTCATGAGTTGATTTTAGGAACATGTGTTGATGTGATGGCTATTCTTTTAACTATCACCCACGATCTCTCTAACTGCTTACAGTCATGGGGTTCATGCCTAGAATTTATGTTGCATTACTCCCTCCGTTTTGGAATAATTGACACATTTTCCTCTTTAGGCCGTTACAAAATAATTGACACACACCATAAATGGAAAGCAACCACCATTATTAATTATATTTACCATACACACCATGGCCCACTAAATCCATTAACTTTACATCACATCAAACAATTTACTTCTACACTTTCGATTCATATGAATCAACTGAGGATAACATTTTAGATAATTTTAGATACTCTTTTGTTTCCACATACTAGAGTTTATGTTATTGAGCAGCAATCTTTAGGATTTAGGGCTATAAATAAGCAAGTTCTTTTGTATATGTAGAGGCCTTGAGTGAAGCCTAGAACAAACAGAGAAGACTTCAAGTAAAACCAGTGAGTACAACAGTTAAAGGGGGCTTCTTTGGGAACTAAGTTCTTAGAGGAACCCAGAGTGGCCCTAGTTAGCTATAGGATTGTAACATAGTTGTTTTTCTTAAGTGAAATGGTTTGAGTCAGGGTAATCTTCCTGTTGGCCTGTTGGGCCCAAGATTTTTCCTCATGTAATCTCTCTTGCACTTGTTTACTCATTACAAGTTCACCTGTAATCTTTAAAGTTCCACAATTCTTAGCAACAAGTTCCACACAAAAATGCACCCACCTTTTGCTGTGTTCCATCTAACTATCATTTTCATGTCCAAATTCTACCTCTGGAAGATTACTATTGACTGAATTTATTCATACATGTAATCCAATTTAACCTGAAGAGGTGTACTACTCACCGCACTATGCTTCTTATATAGCTCTTTTGCAAGATCCTTGTCATTAACCTACAAAAATGAATGACGATCAAATAAAAAAAGTTCATATAGAGGGCTATGTAGTGATTATGGGGAAAAAATAAATAAATAAATAATTTCTGCAACAATATAAATGACAGAGAGATCAAGAGGAGCATTCAAGGAAAGATCATTAATATCCCAAAAGGAAAGAAACGGCCATGAATAGCATATACAGCAAACAGCACACAGCAAAAATAAACATACCCCTTAATGGGAATCCCAAAAAAAGTGTCATATCTGACCCCAAATTAAAGTCAAGGAAAACTAGGATAAGAACGCTAAAATTCGTAAATTTAAATAAAAAGGCTCTTTGATGTGCAGATGATCTATATTACTTTAACCCTGGGAATCAAGACTTGAAGCTGGGATACACGAATAACAGAGTTGATGCACTGAGTTTGTAGGAATGCATATAAACCATTCCACAAAGACATTCTTTATGCTACTTAACAAAATATTGTCATTGCATTGCAAAATTACAATTCCTTCTATTTCAAGTGACGAGTTAATCTGGTTTCAAAAAAAAAAAAAAAAAAAAAAAAAAAAAAAAAAAAAAAAGTGAAGAGTTAATCTTTCTTGAATCAAACAAGGAAAATAGAAAGAAATCCTCACCCTGGGAGGCTATGCAAAGGACAATGAATCCATGTGATGTGGACCTAGGTGCAGTCAAAATGCATCTTTAAACTAAAGAGATCATTTAAGAATAATTATTTACAAGTAACAAGAAACATTTCAATACGAACAAACACATTTTAGAAGCATTGAATGAAAAGCTAGTGTAATCCATTTTCCTTGCAAATGAAGATCTGGTTAAGAATTTCTTCAAAAAAAAAAAAGATCTTGTGAAGAATTGTCCCGATTGCACGATAGGATGATCAAGCGTAAAACTGTATTAGAATTTTAATTGATTCAATTCCAATCATGAGAAGAGTGAGATAATCATAATAGGGTTTAAGGAAGACAAACCTTAAAGCAATAGTAGAGGGGCCATTTGGTTTCAGGCCTTTGTGGAAAGAAAAGAGAACCTTATTATTTCATTTATCTTGTAGATGCATTTACCCTAAATCTAATTCCCATCCTTACCACAAGGATTTAAATTCTCCAGTAAATGGTTGAGGTGAACCACCAAGAATTCTACCTATGAGATTAATAGCACCACTCACCAGCCTATTCACCTCAAAAGTCAAAACCACCATCATCAAAGCCCCTGATCATGGAAGGATAATATCTTATCTGATAACAATTCTATTTCAACCAAACAAAATAATTAGTTTCCCCTTCTTGATCCTTTAGACTTACTCACATATGAAATAATGAACCAAAAAGCCTTGAATCTTTTTCAGCATCAAAGACCCTGACCACAGAACGATAATATCTGATCTGATAACAATTCTAAAAATGAACTTTTCCTCCAAATTTGATTGATTCACAATTAGAATACTACTATAATGTGGCTGCTCTAATCTAGATTAAAGAAAGTATGACAACTTATCCACTATAATTCTCTGTATAAAACCTAAGGCTACATTGGAAAACTATCCTTTGAGCTGCTGATCAGATAGATCAAATTAGCAAAAGATAAAGATAACCATACTATAATATAAATGCAAATTACAACAAATATGATATTGGCTTCAATCCTCGAAAAGCTACATTGAAACCTCACATTCGAGGCATCCAAAACACAGGATAAGCATTAAATTTCTACATCTGAATGAAAGTTATAAGGGAAATGTAAATTTGAAAGTAGAACTTGTCATCCACAGATATGCTTGTAAAAATGGACGATATCAAATGAAATTTCCAATATCCAATGCTGTGGCCCAACATAATTTGCTAAACATCACAACAAATGACAAAAATAATATTGATATTACCTAGGATATACCTATATAAATAGATAAATATAATAATCAATACCGACAAAGAAACATTACCGTGGAGTCAAGAAGCTCCAACAAAAACATTTTTCCAGATTCTATGGCAGAACAGCTCTTATCAGTTTCTCTTCCAGACCCAGCCATCTTAGCTACCTCTGCCAGCTTGTAAAAGAGCACAGCAACAGAAACTCGAGCATAGAGCTCTGTATTAATATAAGCCTGGGCACAAAGTAATCATAAATAATACATTTACAGATGCCAATCATGCCATAATATGAGATTATTTAAGAAAAAAAAAAATTGCCCAGAATGATTCCGTCTCCCTCGATCAAATTTTTAATTCCGTTTGCAACTTTGCACTTTTTTTTAAACCAGCACTCCCCTATTATATAGGGAATAATATTTTTTTAATTACTTTTTGTAAATTCAGATAAGATCACATCAGGCCACACTAGATCAGATCAGAAAAAATAGATACAGATCAGATCAGAAAACTAAGTTCGAATAATATTACGTACTACCTTCGTTTCTTATTAGTTGCAACAAAGGACTTTGTTATGTCTCACAATTTATACCCCTTTGTTGCAACTAATAAAAATAGAGGTATTACATATGTTGACACAATATCAGATTTGATAAATTCAGATAAAATCACATCAGTAGAAAAAAAAGCTAGCTAAACATAGCCTAAGATACTGGGAATAAAAAAGGTTAACATACGTTTGTGATCTCACTATCTGGAACTTTTGCCAGCAATGACACTTCAGTTCTTGCATCACCATTCTCTGTTAGTTCCCCTTCAAAATCTTCATCAAAAGCAACTAGACAAAAAGAATATCTCCCATTAGAAACTTTCAAAGGTTTTTTTTTAATAACCATCATGAGGAAAAGGATCCATGCAAAAAGGTGAATACAATAGCACCCAACTCACTAGATCCATATAGAGTCAAAAGCTTTAGCTCTTTCACGTAATACTTTATGACCCCAGGGTTTAAGAGCCATAACCCAGTCAAGTGAAGAGCTGCAAGACGAATCGTACGAGGACTTTTTATGCCTTCTTCAAAAACCTTTTCGCATAACTGCAAGAAAGGTCAAATACATCATGAATACATGTCCTCTGTTTCAGTGCATACAACAGAAATAAAAATTTGAACTTTTACTGGCCAAGGTGAGAGATTCTAAAACATACCCACTTCAAAGGGCCAGGTCCTATATCAGTCACATGCATTTCCTCTAATCTGAAAACAGATGCATGCAGGACAGCGGAGAGAAGCGCTGCAATTGGTGCAACCCTTCGTTTATTACAGCTACTGTGCAGTATCCATGAAGACCTAACCAATTGCCATATCATCTGGAGACAAGACGACCAGGGTAGTATGTCATTTACTCTTGGGAATTGTGTTGAGATCATATCCCACAACCCAGGATACCCCAATCACATACACAAGACTGAAGACATGATACCTAACTAGTCCGACAAAAATATATACAAGCAACTGAAAGACTTAAAATTTGGCAAAAAGAAGACATAAATGACACCCATACCTGTGCATCAACCCCATTACAGCCAGAGACAAATGAACTACTCGAAGTTAATAGATCCAAAACCATTCTGACTGATCTCAGCATGGACAAAGCAGAATCTTCTCCAGCAGTCTCTAGGCTGCAAATTCATTTGAGTTGAAGTTGATAAGCCAAATCCCCAAAGATCACATCACTAATAAAAATGTTAGAAGAACAAAAGCTAGTAAGGATTTGCATCTCTGCCTCACTAATAATCTCTTTGTAAACAGCATGGGGATTAATTACTTACCTCTCAACAAGGTCAGCAAAGATAAAGCTGACAGCATCATTTGAGAAGAAAGTATTATCATGTCCAAACTGGACTCCATTTTGAAAAGCATGGTATGGAATAGATAATATAGCTTCTAGGCACATCCACTAAATCATTTGGGAAAAAGAAGGGGAAAAAAAAAAAACAGAGTTAATTCTGCAAAATATTATCTATCAGTCATCAAGAAATAAATCATAACTGATGCAAACAACACAGATTGGTAACAAATACTGATAAGAAAACCATTAAAAAAGCTGCATTAAAGTGAAAGAAGGCCCTTTGACTTTCCATGAGCCTGGAATGTCTAATGCATAAAGTGGCCCCCAATAATATTCTATCCAAAGCCTCAGCTACAAGGTAGGAATAAAAGAAAAGGGGTATACCAGCCTTACCAATCTAGACAAAAATATTTCTAGACACAATCTCCTTTACATAACATCAAAGAACCATCAATATGACAAGTACCTACTGTCTTTACTTGCTGAAGTTGCCTGAAGTACAACATTCATTTCCATGACCCTATGCAGAAAAAAATATACATATATATCCTACTCTAAACTAATTCAGTTTAGCTACTCTAGGAAAAAATACATAGTTGAACTTCCTTAAAACATTAATTAACATATGGTTAGGAATATTATCCTTTTAATTCAACAATGGTCACTTGACTTCTTGACAGCAAATACTGCAATTATCGCTATAACTTTTAGGTTTTCAAACATTATTCTCATGACAATACATTTACATACAGCAGTCACAGAAGTAAAGACTTGGAAAGTAAAGTACAGCGTACAAAAGGGGAATACCTTCCAGTTCATTAATATAGCCCTCCTTGTTCGGGCTAATTGCTGAATACCAAGTAAACCATTTATGTGATTGAGAAATGTCAGGACCAGGGAATCAAGAAGTGGCCTATTCTTTGCCACTGGATCTAAGGTGCTATTCTTGTCTTGAGTATTAAAGACAGTTGAAGAAGAATTCACTGGAGCAGAAGCTTTAAGGGCAAAACTCAGAGCTTCATATGCAGCCAAGTTAATCTCCGCACTAGTCTGCTTGAAGACATTAAAGGTAGTGAGCAGAATCAAAAGCAAAAAGAATATACGATGGAACATGCAACATTTATTAAAGGACGATTTCCGCTGAAAACCCCCAATTATACACCTTATTGAATAGATCCATCCTAATGTTTCTATAATGTCAAAGGGGTATGCTCAATTATTTCAAGTAAAATAAGCTATCCCACACAGAGTTGAGGAATTCAAGTATGCCCTTACATTGTTCATTACTTTAAACTAAACCAAAATGGCATTTGCCCATGAAAACACCCAGCTCCCCCCACAGCACAAGAACGAGGCCCCCCTTAACCACTAAGGCTTTGTTAAGTTAGGGTTTATAGAATTTACGACCATGCAGCTATTGCCTTATCTCCAGCTCCCTTTCCTCCACCTCAATAACTCCCAGTTTAGCGGTAGCATTGGTTTTCAGAGAAACAGAGAGCCTTGGCAGTAGCGATTTTCTCCACATTGTTTTCCTGCAAAGCTTCCGACATGCCCTGATTGCCGAAGACGTTCAAATGGTCTTCAGTCTAGTTCTCTCTCCCTATTGCTCTCTTCCTTCTCTATCTCCTATATTCATTTCAGAGCTCCAGAATAATATCTCTATCAATCCACATCTTCCATTTGTTATTCTCTATGTTGCTTGCAGCTTAATTTTCTACAAATATACAATCATGTTGACTATCAATCAGATTTAAATCTAATAAGTCAGTGGCTTGAGACTTTGTGAGGAATTGATCCCTCAATGGCCTCAAGCAGGGCCACTAGTCCACTAGCAGTTTCAATACCGGTCAGGTAGGCTAACTACCCCTACCACCAGTGTTTAAAATGGGACAGGGTGAGAACATGAGAGTGTGAAGGACAGAATGACGAGTTGAGAGTGAAAACATGGAACAGGATGGTGGAATGTGGAAGAAAGGAGAGAGAGAGAGAGTGAGTGAATGCAAAGGTGTATCCATCATATAGGACTCTGGTAATCCATCCAACTAAATATATCCACCTAGGAAATCTGTGACTCCACTTTAATGTAAAAGATTTCTAGATGGAAATCAGTGACTCCAGGAATAGTAAGTTAAGGGGCTGCTGTTTCAGATTTTGCTCACAAACGGGAAAACAGAACATGCATCATTGAGAAAGATTGTGAATGGGTTTATTGAACAACCTAAATGTTATAGAAACTTAGGAACGGCAGCTGGAGACACTTCCAATTTTGTTCAGTCACTCACCTACTCCAAGGAGCCCAACTTTTGGATATCACAATTGAATACAAAGTATTAATTAAAACACGTTCAGAATTTTTATCATACCTCACAATCACCAAAAGCTGAAGAAACCACCAAATGCAAGAAATTCCACAAGAACGTGAAAGCAAGATTTAGTCCAGCATCATCTTTGAAATGTGTGCACCATGATGAGACAGTTGCAACAGTTCTCACAGACACAATCTGTCAACACATCAGGAAAAGGAATCAGATGCTAAGCATTTACCAAATTACAAATCTTAAAGCTTAAAATGAGTAAAGCAATGGCAACAACAACTGAACTAGAAAGAACACAGTCACGATACACTTTTGAACAGAGAATAAATAGTCATACACTACTGCATCCATGACCAAATTACAGACAGGATTTGCAATAACCAAAGTAGCACCAAGTTGAGATTTTGATTCAAAAACCTTAAGAGCATACTATAAACAAACAGCCAACAAGATCCTACTCCTAAAAAAATATGGAGATTTACTTCATTTCTAATCGAAGGTCCAATATATAAACCCCGTGAGAACAATACTTAACAAATCTTGATGGCTTGACCTCATACAATAACAAAACAAAAAAGGTTATCAGATCAAAGAATCTGAAATTTTTTCCCCAAAAATAATATTTCTCAAACAATGGCGCTTAGTCTACTCAGTACTTCTTCGTACATCATCATCATCAAAACTCACTTTCTTTGACATAAGTAAGTCACATTAATACCGTCAAATTTAGATAGAGGCTGTAATCAGTAATGAGTCTACGGAAATATAGAATGGCTCCAAATGATGGAAAATACAATAGCAACCTTACGTCCTTACTTTATTTTAGGATACAAAGTCATAGTTTACTTTCCAAAAAAGCTCCCTATCTAGCTCTAACTTTCAGAAGACTGAAACTTAATTACATTTATCCTCTATAACAAAATGACCAAGACTAATCCCTTATCACTTTTTTTTTCTGAATATTACAACTACGCCTAGCCTCTATAACAAAATGAAATCCTTCGACTTTCATTTTCAGCACTTCAATCTTAAGCCCCCCACCCCCCAACATCCCCCCGCGCCCCTGCGGTGCAGAAAGAAACCTCAATTGTATTTATGAGACTTAGCAACTTCACAACAATTACATTTCCTTTCCTTTTTTTTTAGTATATTGCATTAATCAAAGGAGAAAAACTTCTGGTTGCAAGAAGATTATAAAATGTAGAGTGATCATAATACTATGTTTAAGGTAACCAGTAACGCAGACAGGCACACATAATCAAAGATACTTGCCAAATAACCGTCAAATTGCCAAAATCCAATCGATAAAAGGTTAATAATTCTACTAAACATACTATATTGTTCGCAGCATGGGCGGCAATAGCATACGAATTTATACAGTACAAGAAAACAGAAACAAAGAAAAAATACAGCTTGCAAGACAGCAGTTGTCATAGGAGAAGATAAACGCCTCCGACTAGGGCCTCCTAGCTTTCCAGTTACAGAACCAGGTAGTCTACCGTCCACCACAACATGAGACCAGAATATTGAACAAGACGATTCAGCAAATGAGATCAAGTCCTTCTGCAAACCAAACAGAGTCATCCAATATTAGTATTGAATTAAAGTAGAACTCAAAAGCTACCAACTCATTTAGTCAGAAAATAATAAATAAATCATCTATTACCAATATGACCAGGAAAACATCAGCAAACTTTTCAGCAATAAGACAATTCTTATCAGCAGTGCCATTCAACTCGACTTTAAGTTGTGTTTTAGTGCACTCATCAGAGCCTAGCTGCATAAATTCTAACTCATGAACCAGGCTCAAGAGCAATATGAGATACTTCACAGGTATTGTCTCCCCCAAGTTGCCTTGTTGACAGGAACTGACACCCTTTTCTTCAATAAACTGCCACGTTAAATTCACACATTTAGAAAATTGGAGGAAAAGTTATATCAAATTAGAGCAGATCACTATTATCAGCATACTCAAGCTTTAAAAAGAAAGAAATAAGGAAAAGGAAATATTAATAAACTGTACAAGAAAAAACTCAATACCCTAAAAAGAGGGTCTAACTGGTGTTCATCCTCCACATAAAGAAACAGAACTCTAGCCCATCTTTCTGCTTCAGTGAACCATGCAACCAAGTCTTCATCATCATAATGAAATTCGACATCAGAAATTTTTATATGAGAGGAAAATCTTCCCAAGAAGTCCCACAGACTTCGCACAATTTGCATTTTGTCACTAGCGCAATTTGTAGCATTATTCAGCTTGTGATTCCCTATAAACCATTTCTGCACTTTGAACCTTAAAGAACCTTCAAGAAGCAACAATCGAGAATAAAATGATAGTGAGAAAAATATTATCTAACCCATACAATGAATGTTAAAGGATGCATGAAATTGCATTCTCACCCTTGCTAACTGAATTTTGTAAGGGATGACACACAAGCTACATAGCCATATTACAAACAAAGGTATATAAACAATATGACCACTAAGTACAAGGGATATACAAGAAATTAATTGTCGAATAACCTTTAAAAAAAAGTTGTATATAGAGCATAGCTATGAGACCAGTCACAATCAGAATAGCAAAACAAATCACAATCACCATCAATAACTAATGTTGGTAGAGGCTAAATCCATTCCAATGCTGATGTGCAGAGGCAAACACGAGTAACTTCTTTCTCAACAAGGGTCAATCAATCAATCAATCAAAGCCTTAATCCCATAAGTGGGGTCGGCTACATGAACCAAACTTGATTATTCCGTATAGTCATCCACAAAAATCTTCCTCCTCCATCCCTTACGATCCAATGCCTCATCCTCATGCAAATCCATATACTTCATATACTTCCTAACTCCTTCATATACTGATATTTTCTTAACAAGGGTCGAGTCCGAAAAATTTAGTCCAAGACAATTTCAAGCAAAAAAAAGTTCATATCAGCACTCAGCAATACATCTAGGCTAGAGGTTGGGATGACAAAATTTTAGATGAGAAATGCAAATAACATGCCAAGTTTTACCATAGTATATGTTATACACTTGGCTAGTAACTTCAACTATATTCTACTCATGAACAAGTCATTTTAATAACTCCCTCTGTTCAAGAAAGATTATCCCATTTGCTTTTTCACGGTTTTCAATGCATAGCTTTGAGCAAGTTCAGATTCTTTAATCAAGATTTTCCAAATGGGACAACCTACACATGGAGTATCCCAAATAGGACAATATGTAGTACCTAGCAAGCATAGTTTAAAGACCTACAAAACATTTTTAAAAAATTGATATATACAATGTTGGTTGTGTCTCTAGTTTGAGGAACCTTCTGCAGTATGGTATCTAATGTTAAACAATATTCAGTTAACAAAGCCAACTTGTATGTCTTTACAAAATCTCTAAAAGCTTTCTGCACCTTCACCAAACCAAAGGGTCGACATTTACCCAAAGTCTCTTGAGCTAAATTGCACGTCTTTACAGAGTCTTTTTAGCTAAATACTACCTACGTTCCCTTATAATGGTTACATTTAAGCATTTTACAAATCACCACCAAGAAGAAATGATTAGAGAGTAAGCGAAAGACATCGGAAAAGTGGAATGTTTTAAGATATGAACAATAAAAAATATAGGTTGAGTAGGGTGTTGTGAGAAAAGAAGAATAAATAAATAAATAAAATAAAAATAAAAAGGTTGAGTGAAATGTTGTGAGAAAAAGAAGAATGAAATATTAGGCTGTGTGGATTGTCGTATAGAAAAAACAAAGTAGATTTGTATAAAGCTTATATATATAGTGAAATATTGTACGTAAAGAGGGAGAAAGTAGAGTGTGAATGAATACAACAAGGTGGGCATATACCCTAAAAAGGAATAAAGTGAAGTGTAATCATTAATTTGAAACATCCCTTTTTAAAAAGTGTAACCAAGAAACGAGGGAGTAAGATACAAAATCAGAAGAACAAATCATAGACCAAAACAAGAAGAAAAAGGAAGAAAACGGTTGAAACTTCAACTCATAAAAAGCATATCAGAAGTAGTTTCTTACCCCCAGTATCAGTAAATTCACGTGGTAAAGCTGCTATGAAGTGCAAAATTGTCTCAAGGGAAAGCTCTTCAGGACAAACAACTGAAACAGCAGCTTCTAGTACTCTCTCGCAAACTGGAACAAAAACTTCTAGGTCAAAGGCAATAACAGCAGAAAAGAATTAACTGCATCATAGAATAATATATTGATAAGTCAGCAACGAAAAATTGCATACCTCTGAGACGGTAATTAGGATTGAAGTGCTGTTTGCAATTTTCAACAAGAAACCTCAGACTGTCAATAAAGTCAGCTTTATCGGCCCAATGTTGAGTTCTTGAAGACTCCATGCCATTTAAAGTAGGCAAGGCATTTATGCATTGTCTGGCAGCACCAGTACCCACATGCCCCTCGGCTGAGAAATTTTTTGAAGATTTGCTTGCAGAAAAGATGCATTCTGATAGGCTCATTAAACCAGCTCGGCCAAGAGACTGCTGTCTTGCTACAGATGCTAACTTGCGTAAAAATAAAATGTGTTCCCTATAAAACATTTAAAGGAGTCTTATAATATCTATAAAGCACCAAAACTTATACCAATACATTATCTTGCTAAAGTATCAAGACGGTCTATGAGTTGATCATTTTACCTTAAATTTGAGAAACATCACACTATGACACTCCATAAATAAAACAATACGCACTCCCATATACTCATGTGCACTGGAACATGAACATGACATGCTTTCAAGACCAACTAAAACATTTTACACTAAATTTAAATAGAAAGAACAAGTTACAGTGAGGAAAAACAGCACAAGGCCACAAAGATTACGGCAACAGAAAAAAGGATCTCTATTCAAGTGTTACATCAGATATGGGCAAGCTGATGAGGCTATCCCACTAGCTATTTACGATGCAAAACAAGGTGAGAAGCAGTCTCATCATTAGCAGATCACAAAATGTATATGTGAGATAAATGTCTATTGTTTAGCGGTAGCCTCTGATCATGCACTCTTTAGTATTGAGCTTTTCGAAAAAGGTAAGCTAAAAGAATAGCCAGTCATAAGAACCAATCTTGAGTTAGAAGTTCCATGAAAGAATCACTGCCAAACCGCCCAAAGCTAAAGAAAAAGGTGCTGATAGACCGAGGACAATAAACATAACATGGAAAAAAGGATGGATATGAGCATTTCTCTACTCTACTTGGAAATTGGCATTCTTCCCGAAAGCAATAAATTTCATTAAAAAACACGACCAAAGGAAAAAGTGTGAGCAAACTAGTGTTGTAAACTTCCACTGGCTTGTGTAAAATCCATGACTCCACGATTCCTGTATAATGTGCCTCATCCCGTTCTATAAAGATCGTATCTGCTACTTTACCACTCTATGCCAAATAGATCCATGTTTTTGTGGAGATTGCAAAAGCTAGGTTAATTATGAAAATGTTCTCAATACTGATTTACAGAAACACAGACATCTATCTTCAAAAGGTTACAGACCCAATTCTCGCACACTAGATAATCTACTCACCGACCAAAGGAGGTCTCATGACTTTTGACCTCTTAGCAATAGATATTGGAATCTTAAAGGACAAAGGATTACTGGAAAGATAATGATTGAACTAACATCCCTTCAAATTAAAAATTACAAGACCTCTTCCATTCATCCAAACTCTAGGAAAACTTTTCTACACTTTGGTGTCCTGATAAGACATCCTTAAATTATTCCCTAAACATCGTAGATGGACTGTATCAAATCAACAGCCTGCTAAAGAAGATAATACAAAACAATGGGATCAACATTTACCCTAGAAACACAAGATTTAAACAAATTAATTTTATGCCTGAAGCATCTCTTATATGATATCCCCAAAACATATCATCTTACGGCAGAATACCAATAAAGAAAGCATGGAAACAGAGGTGCACAGCTTATTGCTAACCAAAAATAATAACAGATACTAACACGTACCTCCCATGTAAGAATTTACAGTATTGGTACAAGAACTTAGAGGCACCTTCAATCGTTTTGGAAGAGTGGAAACCTTTCAGACCTATGCAAAGTATATAAATCATTTATAAAGAAGATTAACATTTCTAGACAATTCTTGCAACAGTTGAACCAACAATTCTGCCATGTATTCGGTATAGAAGCAACAAGAAATAAAAGCTTGGCAATGTTGATTTTTTTAAATATTCGGGAAAGGTAGGCTGCACCGCCACTTTCAGGCAAATATAACAAAAGAAGGCATCACGTAATGTCAATAATTTCAAAATTGTTGATAAAGTAGAAGTCCGTTATTCTGTGACCTAATATTTCTATTTTGAACAACCTATAACTATATAGGAAGTATATTTTATGAGAGGACAGCTATTGACAGTTATGGATGCATATGTCATATGATTATAGCATGCCCAGACCTTTACAGTATCTTATATTTGTAAAAAGAGAATTTATTTGAGGTAAAACCTGAAAATCCTACTTTTAGCCTTTTAGGGACATGGATCAACCAACAAGAGAATATACTTCTTAATTACAGCTCGAAGGCTGACTACCAATATTTGAAAGTGGTAAGAGAAATCAATATACAAGCAGTAAACTTTTTAAGATGGTAAGAAGGGTGAACTCGGAAGAAAGAATTGACTCTCAAGGGCGGCCTACATCATAAAGATCAATTTTCAGTCACCAAAGTAGAATAAAGGAACACAAAAGCTTCAAATATATTGCAGATTTAATACTACAGGTATGACTGGATAAGGCAGAATAATTGAAATATACAAACCAAAATCTTTGTGGTGAACTGGATCATTCAGCCCATGCATAAAGGCACCAATTATAAATTTCTCTGGAAACAAAGCTCTGCAGTTGTCCTGATTCTTCCATTCAATATCCAAAAAAGACTTCATAATCATGCACCTAACTAAAGCACAAAAAAAGAAATTAATAATAATAAAAATAAAAAAAAGGCCATCAATTATAGAGGGAAGATGAACTATATGAAAAGGGCAAGAATCTCAGGCAGGATACACTTCAAAGTGCAATATATTTAACTGCAGATTGAAGTAAGATAATACATCATTACCATGTGGATTATCATGAAAAAGTCCCCGTTCCCATAAAATAGCTAGCCAGCCAAAGTTGCCACCAAGCATATTAATTTGCTGATTGGATGCTTCAGGATCCATAACACTTTCATGGTAAACACAAGATTGGAGTAGCAGCATAATCTGTAAAAGTGTAAAATTGATTCTGTAACAGTTATCCATCTTCAAATGTTAAAAAAATGAATATCATATGAACACCAAGGGGTATCCCTCATGCAGGAAAAGAAGGAAGAAACTAAACCACTACACCCTAAAACTCAATAATCAGCCAAATACAAAAGACGAGATATAGACAAAGTCAGCCATGCCCTCAAGTAATATAATCCTGCAGGTATCATTTATGATTAAGATAAGCAATGCTTAATGCAGGAAAATTATTGCAAAAGGAATTTCAAATTATACTTAGGACATTAAACTTTTGGAGTTGCATGCCCTAAGCCGAAACTCATCGGAATTTTTTTACCGTAGAAACAATATTAGCTGAAGTGGTGACTGGTGGACATGACAATAAAGCATAAAGGCAGAAAGGGTGCTTCTTATCAATAATAGTCTACCCTCTTTTGGCAAAAGATTTGATTTTTAAGATGAAAAACATTCTTCTGAAATTTATCAAAGGTAAATCCACAAACAAATATGCACTTGAAAGGACCAACAAGAGGAAGACCCAAATAAGTTGAAGAAAGAAGCTTCACCAATCAGCCAAAGAAATTAGTTTAAGATTTATAATTTGATGCCTCAACAACTTGAATCAGACCATGGTTCTGAAGGTTGACCCTCAAAATACTGTTCCTTAAACCAGTGGAAGACATTCCAAATAACCCAAGTTTTTCTCACTATGTTAGTAAGTGAAGAGGTGGGAGATGATATTGTTTATGACACCCAAAAAGCCTAACTGAGTGGCGTTGGCCAAAGATAGCTTTAGCACAATCTTCAAGAACATGAATGAGTTATAGAACTGCAAAAGTGAGCCACTTCTTTCATTTGCAATGGTAAACCCCGAGTTGATATCAAAAAAAAAAAAAAAAAAAAAAAAAATCCCAAGAAACATGAGGCAAGTTGGAAATGACTCACTAATTTACTAAATACTTGACTTAACCCATCCAAGAGTGTTTGAACTGTTTTCATTGGCACTCTCTATCAATCTAATACAACAACAACAAAGCCTTAGTCCCAAAATGCACTCTCTATCAATCTAATGTGCCTTACTATTTTTTAATTGAAAACCTTTCTCATGAAAATATGAGAAAAGCCGTCCATTATTTCTCTCTTTACAATGTACCAAGAATACCAATAGTTACAGTGTTGGATAAAGTCAATGATATAGCCATGAAAGCCCGGAGATTTGACCTTTCCCAACTCGAAATAGATTTATTTGATTCCATTGCATCCTCCACAATAATAGAGTGATAAAAGAGTTAATAAGCCATTCAAAAAGGTCAGATTTCTATTTGATTTCAGTGTTAAGTTTAAAGTTTTGAGGCTAAATTAATCACATTGATATCTTTGTACACTTGATTATTAGGTAAAAAAAAATATATATATATAGGGAAGGGTAAAGTTGCTTTCCTACAATACATGGCTGATTAGACCACAAAATGAGCTGAAAGGTTTATCTTCTTTCTTACATATGTTCATGCACATTTCCAATTCCAACAATAATCCTACCAGACATATATGACCTCCAAAGCTCAAAAAGAGGGTAAATGTTTCATAGTATTCAAGGCCAAGAACTGCTAATGAAATCTTCAGGTTTGGTTTACCAAGAAGCTTGACAGGTATTAGTCAACATGGATACATGCTTACACTATACAGCATGCTCTATCCAACTATTTAGGGGGGAGGGAGAGGGTACATTGTATATGAACCTGATGATTCCATGCAGCCTCAACCAAGTGAGTGCCATATTCATCAAGCATCTCATAAAGAAGTACGAATGCCTCCCACTTCTGCTTTTCACTCAAATATACATCAGCTGAGAGGCATATTTGCCCAACACCTAATGATTTGGCTTCCTCTTCGGCCCAGACATCCCTTTTTGTCATACCATGAGGAACTGGACCTCTTTGGCGTGACTTTTTCTCTGTAACAACTGGGTTAAGCTGCCCTCCATCATTTATAAGCATTACTCTCTTCAGTATGTATAAAGATTGCTTCCTTATCAAGCCTTCGTTTTCAACCTGGACACCCCACATCAAATATATAAAATATCAATCAATAAAGAAACAAAATTATGCAGTATGATTGTATGAAATAGTCAATATTTTATTAAGATAAATAATAGTCCACTACTTCCATTCAAAAAATAAAACTAAGTCCACTAATTTAGTGGGCATCATATATTTTAGTATATACTAATGAATCAATTAGGAAAAGAGGACACAGTACCAAGCCTCTTTTAATTTCATTCCAAAATTCCTTTTCAGCTCTTACGTCAAATTCTTCAGCTCTATGATCATCCATTTCCACTTGAGACCGATCAACAGAAGAAAAATAAGACAAATACAGAGAGATTATACCATATGCATCTCTCCTTTCTGCAAGTCCCATGGCAAAAAGAACTCGGGAACACTTCCATAGATTCATGAAGAAATGTTGCCTAGAACACCAAAAAAGATACTTCTTACAAACTAAAATAATTACTTGAACTTAGAGATATAAAAAAGTATGCATTCTATAATACTGCACCTGGATATACAGCAGCTTTCACCTTGAATACAAACTTCATATGAGCACTTCAAAGAAAATGCTTTAAAAATGGATGGGAGCAGAAGACTAGTGGTGCAAGACCTATGATCAAGACTCTGTGAAAGCATTTGGATAGTCAAATTGCATAGATCCCATAACAGATTACCACAAAACGTTTCTGATTGGATGTTCCCTGATATGGAGGAGCCTTTCACAGCCTGGTAATTCTCTGCTGCAGCATCCAGTAGGCGGCTCAAAATGTAGCATGACAGAGTCAATGGAAGAACTGGAGCATTATCACATATGCTAACCGATTTCTGCAAGTCTCTTGAGCTCTGAAAGATGGAACACCTACTCCATACAATGACAGATTTATCTTCGTTTTGACACATGTCCAAGGAAAACCCAACTGATCGCAGGAGAATTGGAGCCAGTGAGGCCTCAATTAGTTCCCAGTTATTGGTTTCACTTACAACTTCAAGCACAGAGTCTACAATCGAAAACCAAATAGAAAAATACAGCCGACCCCACCTTTGGGATTAAGGATTTGATTATTGTTGTTGTTGTATCGATTGTTGTATATAAGGGTTGTACTAACAACAAAAGCCTTAATCCAATCAAATGGGGCGTGTTGCATGAGCCATGATTGTGTCTCTAGTGCTCATCAACAAAGATCCTCTTCCTCCTTTCCCTTCAATCAAGTGCTATATGCTCTTGTAAACCCAATTTTCTCAAATCATTCTCAACTCCTTCCACTTAAGTCATCTTTGGCCTCCCTTGACATCTTCTAAAATCCCCTAGATGACACAGGCTCTCCTAAGAATATGATAAAAATTGATTTTATATTCTATTATATGGCATTATGTAGAAGAGATGTCATTTGCTTTAAAGTATTTGAACTTTTCTGCAAAGATATTTCTTGGATCATGACTATAGTCACTTCTAAAATGTGTTCTATTTCTTTGAATGATCATAACATGGATTTTTCTTGGCGAGGATAGGGTTGGGGGAAGGCATGAGACAAGGGAACCTTCCGCCTTCTCTTCCCCTTGTTACTTGTGGTCTATTTGTTGGAACATAAAATTGGCAATAAACCTGAGTTCTCTTTTCATCGAGGCTTTAAACATAAAACTAGACTGTTGTAGACCTTGTAGTTAAAGATGACGAAAACTCATTGTTCACCTTTCAGAATGCATACCTCCCCTATCCCCGGCAATATAACGACAAAGCTACCACCTCTTCCGAATTATCACAAACTTATGACCTTATGTTAAAGATTTTAGCAAACAATATTTAAACAATGCAGTTTGGAATGAGCAACATATTAATCATGACCCTTATCCTTAATGCTTAGCAGATAATACACAACATAGGCAAGACACATACAGTACAGAAAATTCTAAGTAAACTACATCCTACACTTTGAAATGTATACCGCCTACAAAGATTTTCTTCAGACTGGAAAAAGTTCCACAACAAGATACGCCCCTTATAATTACTACAATTTAATTATAGCCACATTGGTAGCTAAAGGGGACATTATTCTAGTAAACTCGAATACGTGCTAAAATACATCTATACTTCTCAATAGCATCACAAAAGTGACCATACTTAAAGCATCCCAAAATCAAAGCCAGACGATTGAAATGTGACCATACTTAAGCGAAAATCAAATTCTCAAAATGTGACCATACTTAAGCGAAAGCACTACCGAAACAAACTAAAAAAAAATTGGGTATTTCCCAGTACAAAAAATTCAGTACTTACCAATTTTCTTCATAAGATGAGAGAGCCCACACAAGTAGGATACAATAAATGCACATTCCTCATAATCTAACTTCTTATTATCCTCAATAATCACCTAATCACAACAAATACACACAAAAATGGGCAAAACCCAGTGAATTACAGCTAACCGAAACAAAAATTGAAAATCACAATACCAAAAACTGAAAATTGCAAAATGAACAAGAAAATCAAACCTTAATGAGATTGGAAAAATCTGGAAGAAGCGAATCAAAGAGGGATGAATGCGATACACCAGTAGAAGTTGAAATACAGTCTAACATTGCTGGAACTGCTGCCGGAGGAACAGTGCGGAAACTCTGCGACAACGAAGAAGTGAGCAAATCCGCCATTTTTGAGGAGAGAGAAAGATAAATCACCGAATTCAGAGTTCAATCGCTGAAATTAGCGTGAACAATCGCACAGTGTAACAATTAATTTGCTGTAAGTGGTATCTAGGGTTCTACAAAAACCCCTGCTAAACCCCAGCTCAAAGGCGCGCCTATGCCTTTTATCTCAACTTTCGGCCTTTCCCTCTCTTTTCTTTACTCTCTCCAGTCTCTCTTGGTGATTTTTTTTTTATTTTTATTTTTTTTTTTGGAAATTCTCATTTTGGAAGCGATTTTTCTGAATAATGCTAAAATGCAAACTAATTCCTTATAACACTCGGTTTATAAACTATTTATGCAACACAATCGCTCGGTTCCAACTTCCAAGGTTTGGTATTTGCCAATATAAAACCACTAACATTGTTCGGTGTTGGCGGCAAAGGGACACCTTCCACCAGGCCATTTGGGACCCGCGATAACTAATTAGTTAATGAACTTAAACAACCTTATGTTAATTGTAAATTAATGGGACATAGTTATTTGTTTTGATCGAGGAGTAAAAGATTCAAATCATGAACTCTCTAGTATTTTCGGGCAAGATCCGCCACTAGTTGGTGGTTTTATATACCGCTAATGTATTATTAGAGGTTTTATGCATGGAACCTATAATACCATTAGTGGTTCTAAGATGAAGCTACCTAGTTTAAATTAGCTTTCAATTCAACCCAATTATATGGAATCGCTAATGGTATCACAGGTTTTATGCATAGAACCTCTAACAGTAATAGTAGTTATAATAGAACCTCTGTTACCATTAGCGGTTTTATATCGACAAATACTAAACCTTAAAATCAAGCCTGTGTGAATGGTATTGTGAGAAATAGTTTATAAACCAATGTATATAGAGAATTGGTCTATGTTTTAAAATTATTTAGGAAAAGCGTTTTTATTTTGGCAAAAAAAAATTGAGATTGAGCAATTTTTATACGCAATTAAAGTTAAAACAAAAACTAGTTCATATTCCTAATTGACGTCGGTTGTCAACCTCGTATATTTTCATATATATATTGACTAGTTTTTTTTTACCAGCATAATAGCACTGCCAATTAACTAGTCAATATATTTAGGCAAGTATATTTAATGGATGATTCTCAAAATCCATTTCGCCCTGTTCATTCCACCTTATTTTTGTTGAACTAAAATTAACTCTACTAAGCTGAAATTATTTTTGCCGATTTTTTTTTACTGATTTTTACTGAACTGAAATTATTTTTCGGATTTATTTTTTTAGATGAACTGAAAAAGTCTTAGTTAATATTATCCATATTTCGCAAAACTTATGTGAGTACTTTTGATTACATGTAGAATTACATGCAACTTGTTGCATATATTAATATGTTCCTGATTTGAGTACTTTTGTAACTTGAATTGCTAGTATCTTTTGTAGGTTAACTCTCAATCAAAGAAATAAGTATCTCTCACTCTCTCACCGCTCATGTATGCTGTTCTTCCCCCTTGCCTATTTTTTGAGTTGGGGCAAAAATAACGTTAACACAAGTATGGAAATGTTTATTTTAACCTGCAGTTACTTAGAAATCGAAGTTATGTCGATAAAATTCAATCCATAATTTTAAGTTATACCGTCAAAGTTCAAACAAAACGATAGTATGGGCTAAATAAAAGGCAAGTATTTAAATTTTGATCTTACAAATCAACAAGTTCTTGTACCTAGATATTTTTTTAAAAATATCATTAACTCAAAAGATAAGATTTTTGTAATTATTTTTGGAAAATTTACACTTTGGTGTCCTAACGTTTAAGTAAATTCCTTCACAACCTCTTTTATTGTGTCCAAGACACTTGCAAATGCTACGTCGAACAACGGTGGACCTTTTCATGCTAGGAGTCTCACCTTTTTCTTTGTGCCTCTGAGTTTTAGGTCTCCCAACTCTCCTAGTCAACTCGGGATGAGTAAGTCGTGGTTGATCATCTTCTGACCACATGTTTAGGTCTAGAATTGAGTGTATGAAACCTTTGTAAGTCCTTAAATAGGCTTCCTTAGAGTAACAAGGATGCACAAAATCAGTATTCTCCTTCCTTAGATACCTGATAGTAGATGCAGCATGTTTGCAAGGGATTCCCACATTTTGCCATGCCTGACACATACAAGTCCACTTATTCAAATCCACACAGAGTAAACATGCCCATCTTTGACTTCAAATACTCCATAACCGGAAACAGTTGGTTTACAAAAATACCCATCACCCCATGCCCAACCATCTTTTTTATTCTAGGGCAAAGTTGGCCATCCCATTTCAGTGCAAAGCTTCTCTTTTTTTCCAATTTCTTCATACATCGTCTTCTAAGTCCCTCAAGCATTGTCACAATAGGTTGGCTTTTCAATTCTCTAATTTTTCCATTAAGAGACTCGACAAAATTGTTAGTCACTTCTGGAACCTATATTTAATAAGAATGGGTTATGTTCATGGAATTTGGATGAAAACGATCAAAATATAGAAATTTAAATAAATAAAAACAACTTGAGTTTAATGAATTTGATACCTTGAGTTCTTGATCAAAAATATGTCTAGCCCATAATTCCAAAGGTACGTCATTCAAATAATTATAAGCATCTGTATTATTCTTTTTGATTTGTGCCATTGCCTTAAGGAATACATATGGAGAGTGTGTTTTTGTGGCTACCCAAAAGTAATTCTTCATTAAATCTCCAGGCCATTGCTGCTTAAAATTGGCGTACAAATGCCTTGCACAAATCCTCCTTGATACTTTTGTTCATCCAACGCAATGTCTAACCCCTAACATCATATGTAAGTGATGCAAAAACGTTAAGAAAAAAATTAAAGAAAAAGTATTGATAAAAATATTATAGGTCGTTACCTTTTGTCTGTCACTCATGATCACCCATGTCTTTCTAGTTCCCTCATCCGCCATTCTCTTTAAATGGTAAAAAAAGAAGGACCGATTCTCTTTAGTTTCTTTATCCACCACCGCATATGCAATGGGAAGAATCCCATTATCACCATCTAAAGATGCAGCTACCAGTAGGGTGCCCTCATATCCCTAGAATATTCAGAAGATAAGACCCAATTCAAATTCTGAAGATAAGACCCAATTCAAATTGAGTTTGTTGTTTTCTTTTCTAGAAAAATTAGGTGAATATTCTAGAAAAATGGGTTGTTTTCTTTTCTGCCAAAGTAGAAACCTTTGAAGTGTTTTTAGAGTTTTGTGCGTGGGTTTAGCAGGCTAAGAATGGAAAAGTTTGTGGCAGTGGAGTAGCTAGTGGACCATTTGTTTATTCAGTATTCTATACTTATAAATTTATGATCATAGTTGGCTTATAAATAAAATTCTTTTTATTTCTCCAAATTTAATTATCAATACAACATATTACAAGAAGTTGCTTAATTATCCACGTACTAGTGTACTACTACTACTACTACTACTACTACTACTACTACTACTACTACTATTACTAACTTCGTATCAGCTAAATGAGTCATACTGACTTGGTATTATTATTTATTATTGTAGACGGAGGCTACTAGGTAAACGATTAGGAGGTTATTTACCCTGAGGCTTGCGCAACTCAAAGTAATTTTCAATGTCCATCATCTTCAGAATCCCGTTAGGAAATTGTTTTGAAATATTGTGTGCCAACTATGTGCTTATGTAATTATATGTGATGAATGTGTTACTGTATGATATTATGGAATCATATTATATACTAGTTTTCTATATTTGTGTACTAGTATAGGTATTTTCGAAAATTTGATTGATTGGTATCGTATGAGTTTTTTTTTTTTTTTTTTACATTAAAATCTTGGGAATTGGATGATTGATTATATGTGATTGATGGTCTCCAAGGCCTATTGGGAAACGAGTTATAACTAGTATGTCATGTAGAATGACTATGTTCTAATAATACTGAAATTGAAACATTGTTACTTGGGATTAAATTGATTTGTGCAATACTTGTGTGCAATGTGATCGGACAATTTAATCTATTAAAATGTACATTAAATTAAGAAGGGAAATGAAACCCGAAAGGGTGAAGAACAGGTTGTCTGCTAGTATTTATGGTTGCTACTAGTTGGTTTAAATTTTGTTTAGTCTTCCTCCTAACCAATGGGTATTAGTGAGGGGTGTGCACAAGGGACATTCCGTTTTAATTTATGGTCATTTGAGGTTATGCGCGACCCTCTGTAAGGTGGTGACAGGGACTAGTCCCGGCTTACTGGCGTTCTCTTTCCCTTTCTTAACTAAAGTAATAAATTGTTATGTGACAATTTGATTTTGGCTTAGTATTATAATGTCGATGAAACTGTGTTGTGTAAAATGTTTTTCGAACTAAAATTATTTATTTTACGGGATGGAGTTGGAATTACTCAGTTTATCTGATTTTGGGAGTTTTCTTTCTTTTCTTGTTTCTGATTTATTTTACAGGTTGGTAAGAGGGTACTCGGTTACGTGTGAGGAGACGTTAGAATAATCACGTAGCTAAGACAATTTAGTTTAATTTCGAACTTATTTATTTTACTTTTAATTAATGTTTTTAAAATAATTTGCAGTTTTGATGTAATGACTATTTTATTTTGCCACCCCGGCCTTAGACCACTCAGTTTATTAAATTGTATTTCGTTTTGCTTTGCATTTATTTTTTACGGAAAATAAGTGTAGCAGTAACGCTCCCAGGGTTCGATGGTTGGGTTTGAAAGTTTAAAAGGTTACTCTTATTATTTTAAATAGACTCGAATTTTGGGGGTGTTACAACAACCACTAAGATTCCCATTATAAAGAGCGTCAAAACTAATGAAAATTTTCTTGAATATAGGATTTGCAAAAGGCACTTCAGGCATTCCCCATGTAATCCCACAAATTGAACAACACTCTCTATCAAGGATCATTTGTATGTAAGTGGGTAACCTAGCATAAGACTCCTGATGAGACCCATCAATCATATCCTTTAATATGCTCCTTGCTCTATATAATTGACTTTTCTTACACCTAATCCCATGTCTTTGTATAATCAATTCTTTCATCCCCTTGAACGTGATCTCAAGGTTGGCCCTAAAATCATCCTTTAGAGATTCAGCTATCCAAGGAGCTTTTATTGTAGGGTTCTTATCAAGCCTCACACAAGTGTGCTCAGATCGAAAGGTCTTGATTTGGAATGTAATGCCATCAGCCAATAAACTTGCATATACTCTCCATGGACATGAACCCGCAATCTTGTTTCCTATTCTATAATCCTCAAGATCATAATCAAAAACAATTTTCTTACAAGTGGCCCAAAATTTGACCTTAGTGCTTCTTTTTTTGTCAAGACAAAATCCCTCTTGTATTGCATAAGACTGAAGTACACTAAGAAACTTAGCCTTATTCTCAAACATTTGGCCCACTTCAAGCTTTATGGTACATATTTCAAAGAAAACCACTTTCCATTCTTCATAAAACTTAGGAATATTATCTGTTTCTCCTTCACTATCACTAACATAAGACTTCTCATCATCCCAACCATCATCACTGGTATCATCTGAATGTATATCTTCCTCATTTCCCTCATACTCGCTAGATTGGGGCTCATCCTCACACTCTGAATCCCACTCATCCCCGGAACTAACGGATGAATATCCGCCTAAATCAACACATCACTATGAGATCGTACAATTATACTTCCATCATCCTTAAACAACCTTTCTCCTCTCTTTTGTTTACTTAAAATATGATGTTTATTAGGTGTATGGGATGGTACAGGTTTTTTGATATCAATACAATGTCTTATTTTAGGGGCCATCTTATTTCTTTTTGGTAATTGGAGAGTTGGAGCTTCTAAGATGGGAACATGATCTTCAACTTCTAATGACATAGGCTCACTTTGAACCCTTGGGTCTCCATTACTCATAAACACATGATACCCACTACTATCAACCTCATTATCTTTAGCAAACCATGTAACCTCTTGTTCAGTAGGCCATAATAGCTCTATAGGAATCTCAGGAACTTCCGCCTCATGCATATAATCATTTTTAGGCCACTGCACCTCCTCAACAATCTTCTCATTATCCTGTTTTTTCTTCCATTCCTCATAAGCCCTTCTTGCTCCTACAAAATATAATGAAGATGACTCACTCTCCTCTATAATTAGATCAATTTATTCTTTATTTTCACACAAGCTAAACACCATCATCAAATTTTTATCACAATCTATTGTCACATAATTGTCATTCCCTTGTTTAAAAATAACTTTTGGAGAGTTAGGATCTTGCCCAATTTGGCTAGCTGCTTGTATCCAAACATCAATAAGCAAATCCACAACTGAATATTTATCGGGATCCACTCCTTGTATGATAAAACATTTCTCGTAATAACGACACAAAAGTTTATGCTGTTGCAATGTACAAAGCAGATTATTAAATAAACAAATTATGATCCTAGACAATATACAATCATATCCAATAATCAAGCATGTTATCATGCATAAACAAATTAAACATCAAATGATGACATTGATATTAATACTATAGATTACATTTTACTTTAATTTTGCCAATAATATCACTTCAAAACTATCAAATTTGTTTACTGTACATATAAAAATATACTTTTTAAACTCACAAATTGAAATTCCCATACAAATTCATGATATCAACACTTGTGTAATTGATAAATTATGACATATTCCACTAAAAGATACCAACCTTAAATCTACTTTATTTAATAATTTAACAAATATTACCTTCATTTTGCACCGCAATTGCCAAATTGCTTGTTTGCTTGGATTGAGTTTTACGATTGCGGCATTATCTTCACCGATGAATGAGACAAATTTTATTTGATTAGAGGAGATACTTAATTTGTGATGAATTATGAAAATGGGTAGAAGTGTAGAACCGTAGAAGCTAGGGGAAAATTATGAGAGAGATGAGGGAAATGGGTTTTGGGGGAAAATTTAGAGACCATAATATAATTATACGGCTTTAGTTTAATAAAAAATAATGATATTTTTTTTAAAAAAAATTAACAGAAAATGTAACACCATTAACTATTAGGCACTAATTATCTAATGACAGAATACTAAAGTGGAAATATTAAAACCATGGGTCACCAAAATAGAATTTAACGTTGGGTCACCAAAATAGAATTTAATGTTGGGACACCAAAGTGTAAATTTTCCATTATTTTTTCTTAATCTTGTTTTTTTCCTTCTATCCACTCTCTTATAAAGGAGCAAGTGTCAATTGATTAACGTTAAAGCGAATATAATTAAAAACTATGTATAAATATAATAACGCATAACAGACAAAATCTTCTTACTAAGAACTTCACTATATCAGTCTCATTCATTTCTTAATCTTACAGAAAAAGCTCACCCAAAATTCGAACCGCCATTATTCAATTTTCTTCAATATGCAGCGTTTTCCGCCATTAACAAACCTCTTCTTCGTCTTCTTCCTCTTCTCCATTTCTTCAAGTTGGTGACATTGATCAATATTTCCTTATTTTATCCGGTTTTATGAAGTTTTTTTTGGTTGAAACTGAAACGTTTTATGGTATTTTTGAGCAGGTTTTTTCGAAGTAGTTGTTTCCGAAAAAGGGTTTTGCTCTGCTCCAAATTCCGCCATTAATGGCGAAAATACCAAAGCTTTGTATTGGAAAGTTACTAACCCTACCCTCGCACCTGTTCATCTCGAAGGTTAGTTATATGGTACTTGATTTTGTAAGAATTATTTGGTTTTGAATTAGGGTTTTGTGTATCGATTATTTATTTGTTTTGTGACTTTTCTTATTTGATTTATTCTAGACTTATTGTTATGTTTGCGGGGATGAATTATTGAAATGAAAATTGTATAAAGGAGTAGCGTTTTGTAAATTAGTCATGATCATTGGTATTAGTGAATAGTGATTTGGATATTGTGTTCGTCATTTGTTGGCGAAAGCTGCTATTATCTGTTGATGATGTTGTTTTAATATGTTGATTTGGTAAATACATGTGTTTGATGAATTGATGAGGTGTTGGATGAGGGTGTTTATGGTTTAAACTTTAGAGCGAGTTAAATTATCGTTTGTTGTTTAAAAGGCAGAAATTTATTTGATTATTTGGATAGAACAGGTAAGTGTTTGTGAAGAACTGAGGTAACATATAATACAGAAATATGTTTGTATTTGATAATTGTAGATTTGTAGAGTTGTATTTTTGTACCTTAATTCGGTTATTTTGCTTGTTGTGGCTTCTTTGCTTGAGTAATCATGGTGTAATGCTAATAGAGTGCATGTTTTGAAATATGCCAAGTTCAACTCTTCAAGGCCTTCCTTGTGAATTGTATCCTCTTTAGCCCAATGCCCAATCCAGTCGTTAAAAATTTTATTTTATGATTGCAAATGGTTTAAAGGTAATTGGTATGATAATTTGGCTACTTGAGTTTATCAAGTTTGCACTTTGCAGTCTGTGTCTTGCCGTCAAGGTTCCACAGTTCATTATTCTCTGTAAATGATAGTATGATATCGTTAGATATGTCTCTAATTATATCCCTTTTTAAATCTTGTGCCTCATGTCTTGCATGCAGATTTACCTGGGTTTACTCGAAGTGTATACAAAAGAGATTATGCATTGATAACGCCTGAAAGCCATGTGTTGAGCCCTCTGCCTGAGTGGTTAGTTTTTTTTTAATTACAATTAGATCACCTTCAATTCTTAGTGTTGTTAATCATGTTGATTTTATTTGTTTACTGCTGCTAAAGGAAGAATACCCTGGGAATACATTTGATCACACCGGCAATGGGCTCACACTTTGTCATGTACATTGCCAAGATGCAAGGTAATGGAAAGGGTCCTTATCTAATCTTGTTCGTAGTGTGGACAAATTTATATAATGAAAAAAACTCTTTGATGCGGAAGGAGCTTTTGTATGGACTTGAGACCTGCTTTCTATATCTTGGAATTTCATTAACTTTGTGTAAAGGGCTACTCTGGTGATTAGGTAGAGATGCTTGGGTTTTGTTTTGTATAATTCTTTCGTCATCTCATTGTGTGCAGACAATTCAAGATCAGCACCCCCTCCTGTTGATGTTGAGAGGTAATGATAATGTTGTCTTTCCTGCAGAATTTGAAAGAAATGAGAATTTACCTCTGCATTTGGTTCCTTTCATCTATTTTGTGTTTTTCATGATTCTCTGTTACCATCATAGGATTCATAGGGCATTTTTGGTTTAATTTCAACTTTCTTGTCTGTGGTTATAGGTTTATTTTTGTGGTTGATGGAGCTGTCACTTTGACTAATGGCTCCGACAACAGTCATAGCCTAGTGGTAAGAGGCTTTATCCTTTCACTTCAATTTTTTTCCCCCCTGGAAATTTAGGAGAAATCCTTAAGTGTGGGAAGTATTTAAACTCTTTTAAGTGATTAGTTTATGGGGTGTGTTGGACTCGTATGTTTTCCCTGGCCCTCTTCTAAATTCCATTATAGGAGGGGTGTATCCACGGACCACGGCTTTACTTGCCTATATGTTTACAATTGCTTACTTATATCTGTTCATGCTCTGCTTATCCTTTTGGCGTCGATGTTTGGAAATTTGAGGTCTCACATCAGGTTATATAGCCTTATGCTGGCCCGTTGGTTATTACTCTGCCATCTGTACTCTGTAGTTATGGAACGAGGGCTCATTTTTTATTGCATTATTAGGTGGTTGGATATTTTTGGAACCTTAACAAATTCATTGGTATTATAGGTATAAAGTGGATTAGCTTGCCTCCTCTCTTGTTGGCATTGTGGTATATGCATGTCTTGCTTCTCATCTTCTTAACCAACCAACTGACCGGCTAAATTTTGTGTTTAGTGGTAAAGTGTGAAGTAACATGACCTTTTTTTTTTATCATGAGAGAAGCTGTATGATAAAGTAGTGTACCTTGCGTACCTTTTCGTTTCTCTGTTGGTGTTTTTGGCGGGGGGGGGGGGTCTTTAATTTTCATAATATTCTCTTATTAAATACGACGCAAACTTATTATGTATAATTTTTTGTGATGTAGGTGGATTCATTTGCTTATCTTCCTCCAAATTTCCAGCATTCAATTGACAGTGATACACCTGCTACTCTTGTTGTTTTTGAACGAAGGTTTATCCTATATTCTTTCTTTTGTTTCTATGACTTTGTTACCCCATTTGTAGTTTTCTTGACATGTGGCTGTGTTTGTTAATATACATTTTCTAGCTCAGTAAATTTAAGTAATATATTTCATCGTGGATATGTTCTTTTCAATAATTTTGTTGAAGTGAACTTGTCCTATTTAAGCTGAATTGATTTTTGATTAGGATTTATACATATTTACTCTGTAGTTTATCATGATTGTTACTTCGTATTTTTTGTTACTGGTGTTTATGTTTGTTATTCCTGAAATTATTACTACTGCCATTTTCAACTAGAAAACTCCATATTAATGCAATAGTATTAGTGGTCGTGAATCTTTTCAATTATTACTTCGTCAACAATTATTGTGATAAATTATTAATCAATATGGGGTAGAAGATTGTAATTTATTTTATTGATAAATGTGAGAAAGTGGTATGAAAGCTGAATTAACTTTTGTTTGATCGAACTCCTATTTGTGGTATTGAATTGACCTTTTTGTTGAGTTTATGTTTCTGAGATGAAATGTGGCCTTATATCTCAAGCATATGGATAAGCTTCATGTTTATAGATTATTTTTAAATAGTGGAATAGTATGATTTTGTATAGCCCCTCCTACATCATACCCAGAGATAATCTAATAAGTAATTAAGGGTGAGGAAAGCAGTTCATTTCTGTAAATCTGTTATCAAATTAATGATACAAATTTCCTGGAGAACCATCTACATTTTATATTATTGGAACCAGGTTGCAGTGACCCAATAGAAGTTCCCATCCTTTTGTGATCATAATGTTCCTTTTGAAAGAGTCGAAAGAGCTAAATTTGTTTTCTTTTTAGGCATTCTTATCTGGGCAATCATGTTCCTGAGCTTACAATTGGCTCAACAGATAAGCAGCAACTGCTTGAAACTCCTGGAGAGGTATGCTTTACTTCTGTGGTGTATAGTCTTTGTTTGTCACTGATCAATTTACTCATGCTGCTTCTGCTTCTTCTTTTTTTTTTTTTTTTTTTTTTTTTTTTTTTTTTTTTTTTGCATTTGAGTGGTAAAGGATCATCTAAATTATGGTTTACAATGTGTGATTATAAAATTTTATTCCAAAAATTCTTATAAACATTTTTCAATTTTTTTTGTTAGGATACCTTAAAACGATTTCGATTTTGGTCCCTGCGTGCCATACTAGATCCATATACCAAGAAAAATATGAATAAAGTAATGTAAGTGAATCCTTGTGATTACTTTTTGAGGAGTCAGGACTCAGGAATCAGGTCATATGCAATAAGAGATTTAATCCCACATTAAGCCAGATTGGGGCAAAATAATATTATTGTATAAGAGGGAGGAACTGCATGGAATGGATTTAAATGGAAATTGGGACAACTTTATGGAACGGTGGGAGTAGATGATTGAGTGAAATTAGTGATAACCATAGCTACCATTTAGCCTCTTTATTCGTTGTTAAAAATGGATTATTACCTACAGCTCTCTTCAAAAGTTTACATTTTTGTGGGAGTAGAGGAAAGGGACCTTGTGGAACCATAGGTTCCCTAGTCCTCACACGTTAGAACTGCTTGAGGGCCAGTCTGTTGCTTGGGCCTTAAAAGGATTGCATTACCAAAGTCATTAATTTCTTTTTATTGTGTTATGTATAGAAAGGTGGGTCACTTGTATGGTGATTAGACAAAGACAAGGTAAGATGCTCTGGCAATTCCTTCCTAAATTTCTGTTCTGTTGAATATATGTTTATCTTGTGGCCAGATTTTCCAGCTCAGGAAGCTTCTTCCGACTTCAATGGCCTATGATTTCAATATCCATGTAAGCCAACACATTCCAGAAATACAAGTTGTGTTACAGCAGTTAAAACAGTTAACTCGTTTTAAGTTTTTAAAGTATTTAGGTTAATTAATGGTTTGTCTTATCTGCATCCTTTCATCCCTTTTGTTTAATGATCGCTGTTATACTTGTTTTGTACAAAGTATAATTTAAAGTTTAGGTAGATTTATGTTTTCTTATCTCTATCCTGTTGTCCCTATTGTTTATGAACTTTGTTTAATAATTCACTAGTATTTGGGCCCGGGCGATGCCCCGGGTCATTACATGGGGTTGATCATTAATATACGTTTTAAATTATGACTCAATTTTCTTGTAATTAAATTTGTTATTATATTCATATTGTCATTCACTACATATTAATATTTTGTATTCGATAGATAACATAAAATATCCCGTAGTTTGGTGGTAAGACACTCATTTCTTGAATTAGAGGTTGCATGTTCAAATCTTATTGAGAACTTTTTTAATATAAGTACATGCAATGAGAAACAAATGGAGGCTAAGGGAGAGCCACGTGACGTAATGAGAAGTTGAGTAGGTGACGTGGCGTCATGAAGGGGTCTAAGTGGCACATGTGGCACATAGACGTTCTTAATAAGAACGTTTTTTTAATATACTAGTATAGATTTTAAATTTGGTTGTTTCTTATATAATTCACTTTCTGCAGTGGTAGGGACTAATATAACATATATTGCCTGCTTTCTTGGATCCAGATACTATACTTATCACATAATACTATTATACATTGTATGTGTATTTTTGAAGTCTATATACACTTAGGCTAACTAGTCACACATTATGCACAATAATTCTATGCAAATGTCGGTCAATATTATTAAGTTTATGGGATTAGTAATTGGATGGACAAATAGAGTAAAAAAGCTTGCTCTTTTTTGCTCCTTTGTGAAATTGGACTAGAAAGACTACTCAAGTTAAGGCTTTTTATTTATCGTCTATAAATGTTCAATATTTTGATGGCCTAACACCCCATATATAGTTTAAAGGCGGTTTTTGATTTGACATTAGTTCGTTACTATGTATGTATGCAGATAATGGATTTTCAGCCTGGTGAATTTCTCAATGTGAAGGTAACCTGTTGCTCATTTTTGGCTTTATTTATTTATCTATTTATTTTTATACTTGTGTATTATTTTGTCTCTCTAATAATAGCTTTCTTTATAAAAGAAAAAAGAAAGATTTTAATGAAAGCTTCTCTCACTTGGGGATTGGTGATGGGTGACATGGCTTTGAATCATAATTCTGAACCAGTATAAGCAACGTTAGTTTCCCTAGTACAATAAGCTGCTATTGGTTTCTTTGTTTTTGCTTTTCTTGTGCTGCTTTGTTTATCTTTTCTTGTTCACAGCTTTGTATTATCATCATAAAAGGTTTACTATCTGTTCCAATATTACTAGTCACGATGAGTTTATTTCATAGTAGCATTGTGTTTTACAAGTACTTGAACTTTTGATTTAACCCCTTCTGCAGGAGGTTCATTATAACCAACATGGTTTATTACTTCTGGAAGGTCAGGGCATTTACAGATTGGGTGACAGCTGGTAAGCATTTTGCTATTCCGTATATGATATATATGCATTTGAGCACATTTTTTAGGTTTAAGGCTTCCACTCTTCATTCTAGTTTCGATATTTGTATAGTGTATACCTTTACTTGCATCATCAGGCAAGGAAATATATTCAAAATTGCTTAAATTACTTATGGCTCGTATAATCTTTTAATATTAGGGTACTAAATCCGATTGTCTACATGTAATTACTCCTATACAATCATTTCCAAAATAAACATTTCCTGTAAAATTTACATATCCCTACTAAAGCTAAATCTAGTATGCTTTGCAAGATAAAGCTAAAGCTCTAATCTTGGAAATCATATGATAAAGAGAAAATGTTGCTCAAAATGGAGCCATTTCATAACCCTGGTCAGACCTTATAGGAACAATTACCCCCCAAAAAAAGATGATAGACTTGGCGGCTTGGCGTACAGCTTATATAAAACTTCCAGCACCAGATTAATAAAACCCAACTCAATAAACTCATGATGCATATATTTATCATGTATACTTTGAGCATTGACCCCACACAGCCCTTGATGCCCTGATGAATTTATTATTATCTCAACTTCTTCCTCTTCTTGAAAAGTGTGTGACATTATATTGGTTATCATGTAATAGGCACCCTGTTCAAGCAGGCGATGCTATATGGATGGCGCCATTTGTGCCTCAATGGTGAGCTTGAATTCTTATTATTTCAGCAGATCTTCTGATATTAATCAGTTTAAAAAACTGAAATTTCTCAATCCTTTCAGGTATGCTGCCCTTGGGAAATCCAGGACACGTTATCTTCTATACAAAGATGTAAACAGGAATCCTCTGTAATGTTGTTTGGGTGATGTGATGAAAAAACATACTGATGGATTTTTCGCATCGATGTGAAAGTCCATGTGTTTTGTCATGGTCAAGTCTGTGTACAATTACCTTATCTATTGCATAATAAAGACTTTTTTTTGGTTTTTTTTCTTGTTATTGCTTTGATAAAAATGAAGGATTGTGTTTCCAATATTTTAAGGTCAATAATAGGTATTACTGGTGATGATCTGAGAGGTAGCTGAAGCTTCATCATTGTCGGAGTCTTTGAGGGCTTGATAAATATTGACCTAGCCCTCCCAGTGTATGTTACTGATGGCTTGGCACACTGATGCGCCCTTGGTGTCTTATTCATAATATTCTTATTACCGATCAAAGAAAAGCTTCACGGGGTTGATTATCAGAGAACAGGCTGCACAACTTAATTCATAATTAATTCATGTGAATTGGTTTGGTTTCTGGAGATGGGTGAGACAAGGAAAGAAGGTTCTTTGTACTTATGCTGCCATGGGTAAGAAAGCTGATTGTTGGATTTCCTGTATTAGTGATGGAAAAATTTGCACGTCTGCTGGATGTGTTGGTCTCTCTTTCTAAAGTTAAGGGTGGATGATGTTGGCTAGAGTTTGCTAAATCCCATCATACCATTCCTGCGAACTGTTTGATCATATTTATTTTTCTCTTGCCACATATGTTATGTTGGCCTATATATTATGAGACAAATTTGATTTTGATGGGGCTCATGTAGTCATGTTACTATTTTATTACAGTTTTCTGGACATACGGTCTGTTCTTCCTCTTCCTCACCTTCTTCTCTCCATGTAACTCTTTTCGTTGATTTGGTGAACTCCATAGCTAAATTGCGGGCTATATTCTCTATCCCCAGTAGTAAGCTGACTGTCCAATGAAAGTTTTAGATATGGCACAGATGCACAAGGAGCTGATCGTTATCCTCCATTTTTACAGCATATTCTGTTTCAGGCCTATTGTCTTTCTTCTTTCAAAACTCACTGGTTGAAAGTGAATCTGGAGGAAGGAAAAGATGAATAAGTATCTCTGGTTGTACGGCTTATCCCAACCTGCTCAGAAAGGCTGCTTTGACCAACCAGAGGTATGAAGATTTTCGCATTGATTCTTTTTATTCAGAAGGGAATACGATAGTCATAAATTAACTATTTATCATGGTAGTTGAGAATTCTTCGTTATTCCTCATTGATTCTGCTTGTTAGGATAATTTAGTGTAACTCTTCTAATCCAATGGTACTAGGAACTAGAATATGAGTGAACCTTATCTTGTGTCTTTCTTTTTTTATTTATTTTTTATTTTTACCGAAAGCTGTTATCCTGTCAAATCATTATCATAAAGAAAATGTTCGTACTAGCTTCCATGTTTGATTTGAATATATGAAAGCTTTTGAAGATATGGTCTATGGTGCTTCCACTAAGCTCATAATGCGTCACCTTGGAAATGGCGAAAAATGGGGGTAAAATTGACCCCATGAATAAGTAATGCAAAGAGCAGGCGCCATGACCGAGCCTGCCTTTTTTCTTGCCTTTCATGAGATGCTTTCCTCAAGTCTTTCCAATTTGGGAAAATTTTGAATAATCTTGCTTTATTTTGCCCCCAAAAGCCCGCCTTTGTTCTCCACTTTGCACTTCTTTTTTAAATATATTTTTTTCCAATTTTTTATGATTCTTTTTATGAAGGCATCTATTCTCTCTTTCTTTTTCATAAAGTAGTAATTAGTGCTATGATCTGGTGTAAATCTTGCCAGAGTTGCCTCTCTCGCTCACAACTTGTGGTAACTGTAATTAATGTTTTGACTCTTGATCCAACCCTATTGCCGCCCTATTATGTGGCTTACATGAATTTGCTTAATTTTTATTTGGCAAAGGCTTTTAAAATAGTTATGTTCATGTTCTCCTTGGTTTTACCATTTTATGGTTCTCAAATCTTAATGCCAGTCAAAAGTAGGTTGTTATAGTATTTGTGCAACGGGACATAGGCATATAGTATATCCACTTGGCAACTTGTTATGGATGAATATCGTGGAATTTCTGTTTTCATTGATGTTATTACAATATGATATTTATATATATATATACGGGGAGGTTCCGCTAAAAACAGAGCTTATGGTGAAAACTAAAAACAAGCAATCTTAGCCATTGAATGTTCACTAGATAATCTGATGGTGTGAAACAACCCAGAGGTGACTATATACAAAAATAAGGTAATTATATCAATTTATAATAATTTTGATGACATTTACATCGAGATCACTATATATAGAAATAAGGTAATTATATCAATTTTTACAATATTTAGTTAGAGGTCACTATATACAAAAATAGGGTAATTATATCAATTTTGACCACATTTACATAAAGGTCACTATATACAAAAATAAGGTAACTATATCAATTTTGACCACATTTATACAAAGGTCACTATATATAAAAATAACGAAAGTCACTATATATAAAAATAAGGTAATTATATCAATTTTGACAACATTGACCACATTTATATGTATGCCTATCACTCAAGTAGCTCCACCTCCAGCCGCACAACCAGCTACTGTCGGACCACCCTATAACCAGCAGCTCGCCACCGTACCAAATCTCGTCCGCAGCACCGCTCACCAAACACCAATTCGAGCAGATGCAACTCCCGAACCACACCACGAGCAGCCGCCTAAGCAAACACCATCAATCGTAGCAACAAATAGCAAAAGAATATCAATTGCAAAACCAAGAAATCAAATCTGATGCATAAATAGCAAAATTATAACTATTTTAATGCAAATTAAGTGTTAGCACTACATACCAACAATGATATACAAATTTTAATGCAAGGAAAGCTATAATTTTTCAATAACTTATTTTGATGTCCTACGTAAAACAATAACTATTTTACACAACTCTACCAATTTATTTTGCCGTCTAGCAATGATCCAGCTGATCAATTTTGTAGTTTGAGCATCAATTGTATACCAAGCATCATTGAATAAAACTTTGAAAGAGTATTATGACAACATTGGACTTCAACACATTAGTTGTTCTTAGTTTCCTCATATAATCAGTAATACAATATCTAGCAACTAATCTCATCAGTAAAATTAGTCAACCCACACAAAAATAATTATAGGCTTAGTTTGTCTATTCATTACTGCCTAAAGTAACAGGGCATCATATTAGCTATGTTTTAACAGTACATAATCTACCAAACCTAGGTCTGTTAATCTCTCTCCTCCTATACTCTATGCAATATAAAGATTTCGAGGAATTTTTGGTGCTCTAATATCACTAATTAATAATACTATCCAATTTTACTCAAATCAAGCTAAAATCAAACAAAAATCAAGCTAAAATCACACATAAAAACCCAATTTACACAAATTAAGAAAAAAAATATACAAATGAATCTCAAATAATACCATACAAAAAAATTAAGTTGAATTTGAACATAATTTCCCAAACCTAGGCCTGCTAATCTCTCTCCTCCTCCTATACTCAACAGAACACAAAACCATATGCAAAATACTAGTGTTCACAAACACTTTGATACAACAGATAAATCCAATTATAAACATGATATCAATTCAAAACAAGCTAGAAACATAATCATATGAGAGAGAAAATCAGATTAACACTCGCACTTGAATTCGGAATCAGAATAAAATCGAGTAACATAAGCAGTTAACAACTAAAACCTGATAAATATTATCTTAAATCGATTAGAATTTTAAAAACCAGCAATTATCCAAGTTCTTAAATCAAAGATGCAAAATCAAGCTAAAAATCAAAACCCTAAGTGAGCGAAAATCAAAGTAACAATAATTAACTGCAGTTTACGAAAGCAAGAGAGAAAAATGCTCTAAAAACATATTTTACAAGCTCGTATCAGCGTTCTTCAACAAAATCATCAGATTCGTACAAATTCTAAGATACAAAAATATACACAAATGTAGATCAAAGAATGCCATATAAAGAAATTAAGTCAAATTTTGACATAATTACACTCTTATGAAACGCGAATAAGCATGAAAAAGCTCAAATAAAGCGTAATTACTGCTACATACAACTCACAATTGAATTCGTGACAAAAGAAAATCGACCAAAAATTACACAAAAAAACCTAATCTACTAAAATCAAGCAAAATCACACAAATGCAGCTCACAACTACACGACAAAACTGATTCAAATCAAAACTCAAGAAAATCTAATCGAAAAATCAGTTTGATTTCCAAAAAAAAAAAAACCATAGAATATACCAAATTAAACAAAATCATAAACTAAAAACTCACTTTTTTGAAGCTAACGACGAAATTGATGAAGATTGAAACAAATTCTAATGGCGATTTTGATGAAATTGAAGCAAATTCTTCTGTGTTTAGTAATTCACTTTTTTGGGAGAAGGAGAAAGAAAGAGTGAGATGGAGAACGTGAGAAGGAGGAGAGAGAAAAAAATAGAGTAAATAATAGAGGAGAGAGAAAGGATTATCAGATATCAAGAAACAAAACCCAGCTTAAGATTATCAGATATCACGCAGATATAATCTCATCCGTCGATTAAAATTCAATGGTCTAGATTATCTGTTTTTAGTTTTCACCTTTAGACTTGTTTTTACATGATCCATTCCCTATATATATATATATATATATATATATATATATATATATTTTATAGGGGTGTAGGAGCAAGAGCCAATCTAATAGCTAACAAGGTTGCCTTCAATAGTGTTATCAACTTTAAAAAGAACCTACACTTGTTGAATATTAGAAGTGGTAAGTTTTGCCGCTTTGCGCCTCAAGCTACGCCGCATTACATCTCGGTGCACCTCATTAAAATCAACTCGCCTAGACCAAATAGCCACATGGACCTATCACTTGGATAGGTTGGTGGGTTCTTTTGATAATACTTAGTACTTATTCTTATTGCTAAATCTGCTAATCATTTCTTGTCTAAAATAATCCCTTCTATTTCTTACTAGGATAGGGAATTGACTATGGCGTTTTAAATTATCCAAAAGCATTTGTAATGTTCTGGAGCATGACCTGGCCTAGGTTTCACTCTAGCTTCTTCATTGCATGTGCTAATACAAGATCGATTTTGATGGTTTGGTCTTTCGGCGAATATCTTAAGCATTCA